AAAAAAAAAAATTTCGAATTTTTAGATATAACCTTAATCAAAAGTTCGTCTGAGTGCGGGAAACCTTGTTCAGATGACTAATTGGTAATATTGACCTTGTTTACTGAGTTTAGACTCACTCTCCGTTTTTTATTAGTGATATTAAATTTTATTGATTGGACGGAGTTCAATAAGTGCAGCTTTTAATGAAGAGTACATAAGAGAACAATATATTCAGTCTGGTTAAAATTTTTGAGTGTACATGTATTTAATTTTTTTTTTCAAAGAATTTTAGAGAATATTTTTTTTTTTTTTCACTTCAAGCTCATGGGATTTATTTATTGTTAGTTTTGTGTGTTTCCAAAATATTTTTCACAGGGCACAGGCAACAATTAATGTGTAATATTTTATTACATTCAATGTAACAGCCCACCTTTTAAACTGAAGCTTCCTTAATTGAAAACTGGTCAACAATTTCCTCTCACTGGCTAAAATCTGGTTAAAATCTGAAGGTGCCATGTTAGATTCATTGTCTGGCAAAGTACACATTTGAAAAAGATTGTGTATAATTTTTGTGGAATACACTTTCCCCTTCAGATTTTACAAATAAATCAGAGGGAACTACCCAAAATAAGTTGTTGATTTTGCAAAAAGAACACAAAATTTTGAAACATATTCATTAACAGGGGGATTTGGATGAGAAATCAAACTAAAAAATGAGCAAATGTGCGGGTCTAAAAATAAAAATAAAGTCGGTGTGGCCTAAATTAAAACCACATCGTCAAAGTTCATAGTTTTAAGGAATAGTTAAAGACATGATTGCTTTCTTTTCCTGAATTCCTGAATGCTATGGAGAGCGAACCAGAATTTTGCTCTCAGTGACTTTTAGCTCTGAATCCAATAATCTGCCGCAGCTTTCTTTAATTTGACTTTAATTCTGGGTTTTGATTGCATATTTTAGGGAGGAATTTTCTTTGTGTGTGTTTTAACAATTGTAACAGAGAGAAATCTGTAGAGATAAAAAGCTTGTCGAATGTAAAAAATACTCTGTATGAAGAGAAACCTCTCAAATACAATAGCAACAAAAATGTAGCTCCAAGTTATACTCGGAAATATAATGAGAAAATATAATTGCTGAGCTGTGGGAAGAAGGAGAATCAATGTTTTGATTCTTTGCTGGAGCATGTTGTACCATTAGATTTGTTAATGTGGGCGGTGGAGATCCGAATGACACACAGGCCCATATTGAAATTAAACAATGAATCATAAATCGGGGAAGATTTAGAAACTTCAGGAAGACACATTCTTAAAAAAATTACTGGTCAGAATTTGTTATTACAAAAAGCTCTGCAATCAAATTTGGGCTCCGTGTACTGTTGACATACAAAGATATGACATATGATATAATATTATGCAGCAGTTCAAACCTCACCTTACAGTTTATTTGTCACTGAAAGGTTTAACATGATTGGTCAAGTGAAAAAATAAAATGATCAGCATTTGTAATTTCCCCCAAAGATGTTTCTGCAGTTAGTCCATAATAAAATCCAATAAAAGTTGGCAGGTTCAGGCCCACAACCGTGAATGGACTCTGAGGACTCGGAACCTCTGACAATGTGAGGATCTCTTAGGAGGTCTCAAAATCACAAAAATCTACCCATGTCCTTTGGAAATTCATTGCCTCCCATGTTAGGAATTTCTTAGTTTATGTTTTAAGCTAGCTATGATATTTTTCCTTTGCCAGTTTAATTTAGGGGGAGGAGGGCATGCAATGGATTTAAGAATAAAGATTTTGATGATAGACATTTTTGTAGAAATCTTACTAGTTGTATATAACAGATATCCATTGTTGCCCAAACCTAAAAACATAATTTTGGCCTGTCAAAGTCTGAACCTAAATTCAAATTCCCAATGCTACAATCTTATGGTGACTGCTACTGGGGTTTGTCTTTCATAAGAAAGTTATGGTGGTCTTGTTTAAGACTGAACCAAAGCATAAGTAACCAAATTCATAAGCAGACTTGGAAGTGAAAAGCATTTTCAATTATATATGAAAGAGTCATTGAAAATGGTGCTGCTTTATAATCTGCATTTGCGTGGGCTCTGGGTAGAAAAAAAATCAGTTATTGAAGGTAAAAACTGATGTTTAAAACTGTCCTTTCGTAATATTTGAAAGGAGATTCATGCCATGGTGTCTTTGTTCTTTCAATATCTTCATCATTCATCAAGATTTGTAAACAATTTTAATTTGAAATCTGGCTCAAGGTGAATCATGAACTGCGCAAAAAACAAAAAAAAAATCAGAAAAAAGTACAAAGAATAATTGCAAACAGATATTCAGAGTACTGTTACAGAAAACACTACATAAAAAGACGTATGAAAAAAAGTTATGAATAGTCAATACTAAGATGTTATTTTTGTGAAGAATATGACTGATATATATTGTGCCGCATCAAAAAAATTTATTACACAGAGGGCTTAAATAGGTACATTGAGAAAAAAAAAATGGTTAAATGTTTTAGTGCAGGACTTTGCACAGTCATTTCTTTTGAATATCACCCATCATCAAGCAATGTTGACTGTTGCTGCGCTGGATGGTATGGCTTGATTATTCAGTGCATGGGTAATGGTGTTTTAAAAAAAATGTTTCTTGACAAATCAGATTCAACAAATTAACATGAAAGTATAATATAAATAATTTATAATTTATAATGGATGGTATGGCTTGATCATTCAGTGCATGGGTAATGGTGTTTTAAAAAAAATGTTTTTTGACAAATCAGATTCAACAAATTAACATGAAAGTATAATATAAATAATTTATAAATGTTGCATTTTGAAGAAGATTCCATATACAAACTTATCATTATGTGATTCAATATCCAAGCCGTGTATAAAAAATCCCACTAAAATGGATCATGTACTAGGTGCACTTATGAAAACTTAAGGTCAGACGTTCCTCAAAATCTGTTTTGTATGAAAAATATTCAAAATTTTAATTAAATTCTTATTCATAAACCAGTTTCTAAACAAACCTAAAAAATCTAAACACTATAACATTTGAAATTGGAAAATTATTTTTCTTCCCAAAAGGATTATATAAGAAAAACTACCCCTGGTATCTTGTAGAAATGCCTGGTAAGATACCTCAATTTTTTGTGAGTAAACATATATTTAAGTAGCAATACTTCAAAGACAGACTCTTGGAAAATTTTACATATAATTAAGGAACGTCTCTTCTGTCTTTACCCAGGCATAGATTCTTACTAATATATACCATGTAAACAAGAAAAAATATATATCGGAAGATTCGAAAAAAATGAATTATTGTTTTAGGTGGATATTTTTGTTAGAATTGGTTGTCATGCTTTCTAATGTTATCAGTTTGATGCTCTTGTTGTGCAGAATTTGTCATTTATAATGGTTTAATTCCTCATGTGACTTTGAAATTTTCAAAAGCTCTAGTAAATTATTCCTTGTGTAAAGTGATGCTGTAAATTGAAAGTTTACCAATCTTAGACCCTGGCACCAGATGAGTCAGCCCTCCCAAACTTCACAGAAAAGCCTTGCTAGTAAATAACCAAACTATAAGGAGAAGTCTGCACCTTGGAGCAATATAATTCACAGGAAAAGTGAAAAGTTAATTTGACTGCCAAATGTACAGGAACCAAGCAACCCAGACACTGTGTGATCTCTGGTTACCTGCCCTCTCTGTGTTACTAATGAAGTGGTTAATGAGGGTGCTTACAGAGGCTACAGAAACCTATCAAAGCTGTCTGTCTTCTGGTTTGGCCATCACCGCTGGAGTTGTGGTGGCTCGTCTTTCCCTGCTTGGTTTATCTGTCTATGATCTGAAGAAAACTTTCTCTGAGTTTATGCTCTGACTGCTAAAAGCCTGCATTTATCTGGAATGGTTGCTAAATGTGATTATCTCAGGTATCTAATGAGATTTGAGGCCGGCTTCCTGAGTGACCCTTTGCCTGTACCACATGACTCGGATTAGTGGTCTCAGTAATTAGATACAGACAGATTAGTTCTCCATTATATAAAGAAATCTTTTTAATGTGTAAGTATTTAGGTTCAGATGAATCATGGGTTTTACAACAAAATTAAGAGAAAGATAACTCAAAGATTGATTCCAAATCTAAAATACTTCAGTCTTTTATATCAGACTGAAAAACTAAAGATAAAAAAAAATATAAAAGTATAACTTTTCTCTATGTCATCTTGGTGCATGAGATGGGGGTTAATGCTTCAGGAGAAATACAAATTATGCTGCTGGAACTGTACATCACCACATAATAAGAGAACATTCTGATACTGTATTTCTAAAGTGCATTTATCTGCTAATATCATTAGGCAGTAGAGGTCCATCATATACCATTGATCAATAACGTCATAATTATGTGATATCCTTATTTGCACTTTATATGACAGTAAACAGTATGGAAATTCTATTCAGTTGTTAATTTAACTGGCTAACAGTATATTATCTCATCAGGTTATGATCAGATGTTGTTCATGTAATAAGAATATTATACACCTGTATTGATACCTGATTCAGAATACGACATTTAGACATAAAGGGAGTTATATGAAACTTGATGATGTGGTGAAATTCTGATCATGATTTTCATGCATTTTTAAGTTCAAGTGGACTTGATTTTGAGGAATCTGACTGTTGGATCAAAATTCTTGCATACATGTAATAAATATATCAATGTAAGTCCTACAATTATGGTCCATTTGAAGGTTGTCAATTCCCTCGCAGTGATTCCTTCATTAAAAATTTAAAGGCTCTAATTAAGAAAAAAGTTAGCAATTGTAATTTTTAGCCCAGGCATCAGATGCTGTAAGATCCTATGTTATGTGTTCTAATTGTGCAGACAAGTAGACAGTGTACTCTGTTATTGCTCTGTAATTCTTAATGACCAATCAAAATTTCCCACTCCTATGAGCCTCTGAAAAGACACCTTATTATTCCTGTTTTTCATCCTGGAATGCCTACAGTTGTAAAACTCTGTGTGTATAGTATGGATTTCTTGGAGTACAAACATTCATTCATTAAATGTCAAACAGATTGATTTTTTTCTTGTTCCACTGCCAGATGCTGCGATTGGCTGCTAGATTCTTTGATCTGCCCGAATTTCCCTCCTCCAGCAAACATTGTATATATTACAATGTGCCTATAGTTTTCTCTAGAAACTCAATGTGGAAGATGTTTGAGAACTTTCAGTGTTTTTTATTTATTTATTTTTAACTTTTTGAAAAAAAATTCTTGGCAGTGGACTTTAATGACTATAGCCTTGAAGAAAATGCGACTTTTTATTGGAGTTATTTAGAGGAGGAAACAGTTTGTTGTTAGTTATTTTTTCTGATTTTTATTTCAAAGAAATGTGATATTATTGTTTAGTTACCCTTTTTCCACTAGTGGACTGGATTGGGATCTTTTCCTGTAAATAGACATTCCTGTTCTTAAGATGTGAAGGCTGGAGTATTTAGTTAAACCAGGTGTATGGGACTAATTAATGTAATAGTACATGAAGGTAAATATTGATTTGTACAGTTATTGCTTTTAATCACCAGGAAATTCTATTGTCTCTCAAAGTAAGCAGCGGAGGGGCAGAGGATTTTCTAGTGTAGGAAAAAAATTGTCAATATTCAATCTTGGGAATTGCTCCTCTTCTTGATCTACATTTCATTGCTTGGAAGGTGCCATTATTGGTGAAACCTACAAAGAAATGCTTGACATTGTCACAGAACAATAGCTTGTGCAGGTACCCTGCAGACTGGGATTGATTTAATTGTTTATCAGCAAAGCTGTAAATCGGAAGATTTCTTGTTCGTGTTGGTGACATAATTCTTGAGTGCATTCTTGTTATGTGCACTTCATTCTTCTTTATGGCAGCATGATAAGGGTTCTATAATTCAGAAAGCAATTTGAAGGCGACGTTTCAAAACCTGTAAAAAACAATGCATCTGTTTAGAAAATCCAGGAGTAGATCTCCGACATTTGAAATTCCAAAACTTTGCTTATCAAAGCAGAAAAATGTGTCGATTGAGGAGCCTAGCTCAGTCTCCAATGGGCTGGAGGTGCCCCTGGAGCAGAGGGGAAGGTCCACAAGTTTCGACTCGAGTTCTCTGTGCTCAGAAAAGAATGAGTTTCTTCAGGTTCCAATCATGACGGGAAGGAGATGTCATTCTTTTGATTCCTGTACCATAGGGTCACGAAGCTGGAGTGCAGAATCCTCGGATGACAATACATCTGAAAGAGAATCCACAAAAAGTTGGAATCATTTACGGATTCCCAGAGGGAAACGGCGGAGTTCCATGGATATCCCCAAACTGTGCATACATTGTGTTCACATGGAGAGATTTGTAGAAAAAGAACAGGGAGAACTGAATGGGAGACATTTTTACCTGGGAAGTGAAGAACACCTAGCCTCGGGTTCAAGCACCAGCTATACGACTTCATCGGATGAAGGGTCCTTGACGTCGGATATAGACTTCTATCTGTCGGATGAATCTTCACAAGGAGATCACTGTGACAGAGAGAGTGATGCTGAGCCATATTTAAGTGACACAGGTAGAAATAAGAGCTGCTCTCCAGATTGCGGCTATCCAAAGAGTTCAAACTCTCATTCCCCTTCTCCTGACAATCGTAAATCCCCTGACGACCGTCCGTACACAAATGCTGTCACCCTGGAAGTTCCCGTAATTCGACAACACAGATCCACTTCTCTAGATGGAGCTTTATTACAATCCAATTCCAACTCGGATGTGGCGGTTAAACCAGTTAGTCCGAGTCGTGGAATGGTACAACGACAAGATTCGTTTGACGAGGGATTAGTACTAGACGATGGGTCAAAATCTCAAGTACGATCCACATCAGTGGATGTCAATTTACCAACAGAGGAGGAAAAACATTACAAAGCTATCACTGGATCACCGTAAGTTTTACCCCCTCCCTCCCTTCCCCAACCCATTCACTCAAAACCTCATACAAGAAATAGGGAAGAAAGGGGAAAAACCTTCAAACTAATGAGCAATCTTGTATGCTTTATGTTCATTTAATTTTCAGTGCTTAAGGCTTTTTATCTTAAAATTTCCTTCCTGTTAGATATAATTTCTTTGGAACTGTTACAAGGGGAGAAAAAAAAGTGCAGATGCACTATATCAATTAGTATTGCAAGGCTATCTTCATGCTTTGTTATGTAGAAAGATGGGCATTCCATGCATATAATAGAATTAAAGAACCTGGGATTTTCTGGTGCAGCATACGAAACAGCTATAGCAGCATGGATCCATCAAAAAATTAACATAAGTTTGAATACTGTAAATTCTTTATTTTACATGACAGTACTTGACATTAATATCAAAAATGACTATAAGTAGACATCACATTATTGAACATTTATTCACAAATGGACTTTGTATGAAGGGTATATAAATATATCTTAGCAATAAAAAATAAAAGTGGAGTATATAGTACTACTCTCAAAATTTGTCATAATTTCAATTCCTCAGAAATTAAAGAAGCTGATTTAGCATGTATCATGGCCACATCTAGTCTTTTAAGACTGTAGTTAAAGACAATTAGTGTGATATTTTCTAAGAAAACATCAATATTGAAATATTTGTTCGGGCAGGAACAAAATTTATTCTCAATTTTGCTAATTTAAATTTATTAAACTGCATTTTCCTTTTCCTAAATTCTTTGATAACCTAGATAGAGGTTGCAAATACAGGAACATCTTGAGGAATAAAAATAGCTTTTATCAGAATAAAAATCCTGAAGATTGCTGTGCAAACAGTAGAAATCAGGAGTGAAAATAATGGTGTAATTCCTAAACAAACAGAGAAAGAGTTCAGCCTCCTTCAGGAAGAGGAGAAACAGAAAATCAGATTATAAACAACCCTGAAAAGGGGGACCCACATATGTCACTAGGAAACCAACTAATCTGCCTGGCTGAGTTTCATAAAGGCCGGTTTACACTATGCATCTTGACACATGCATCTTGGATGCATGTGTCAAGATTCACAGTGTAAAAGCCCCTTGTTTCAAATTAAATGGGTGTTGCATCTTGAACGATGGAATAGAACTTGTTCTATTCCGTGCTTCAAGATGCATGGAACTGACCAATGAAAAGAAAGGTCAGAGTTGAGATTGAATCATAAGCCATATTTTCCTTCATATAATTGCAAAAATAGGCTCAAGATAAACAAAAAACAGAAAATACTGATTAAAACTACTATTAGGAAAACTTATTTGACTATTATAATATAGAGGGGGTTTTGTTTTGGAATAAATATAAATTATATCTTCCAAGAATTGTCATAAAAAGGAAAATAAGAATGATTTGTTCAGCTATAAATAAATGTGGAAATGAAATTTGAAGGTATTATTATTTTTTTAAGTAGATAAATTTCATCTTTACAAAGTATTCTAAAGATGCATGCATCAAGACACATAGTGTAAATAAGAAGATGCATGCATCAAAATTGAAGCATGTGTTTAGATGCATGTGTCAAGATGCATAGTGTAAACCGGCCTTAAGGGTGGAGAAATGGGCACATTTAATTAAGGTGTATTATGGTTATAATCAAAATTCTTACATTCTCCGTTGTGCACGTTAGAGAACAAATGTTGATCCATTTGTTGACATTTGAGAGGAATATTCAAAATATTGCTACAAATATTTTTTATTTATTTTTCATCTTTCCATTGAAAAGAATATAAAAAAAATGGCCATATACATTTGTATATTGTACATCATTTCTTGAATATCCACCTATTCCCAAGATACTTATTAGAGAAAAAATTTCTGTGGCTTATTTTTTGGAGTAATTTTGTCTTTCAAATGAAGCATTTAAAATGTTTTTTTTTTGTTTTGTTTTGTTTTGTTTTGTTTTGTTTTGTTTTTTTTTGTCAAAGATTCAATGAAAACAAGGGTTGGATTTTCCTTTTTAAAGCCAGTTTTTTAGGTGAATATGAGAACCAAAGGGGTAGAAAAAATAACAGCAAAATCTTTTATGCCTTTAGAATTTTCACCTAGCTTACCCCATCCCCCCTTAAAAAAAAAAAATTAAATACATGCTTCCGCTGATAAACCTGGTGAATTCTGGGTGATTTGATTCACACTTTTTGTTGAGAACTTCTCTGTGAACTTGAAGTAGCAGCTTTTAATCTCCGAATGTGATTACAAACCCATGTTTCTTCTCATTATCGTAGTCCATTGGATGCATTTTATCACAGGCCTGTAGAGAGGCTAGTTTTTATCATAAGTTGAGCTTGTTATGGGAAATGATAATGAACTTTTGAAGCTGAAATTTTCAACACAATATTTTGAAAAGTATTGAATGTAAATTTAATATGCAGGACCAGATTTTCTGGAGAAGAGTAAATGTGTTTATAGAATTTGTTTAAAGATTTTTTTTTGCATACTGTGCTTTTGGACCTTTTTGTTTCCAAAGGTGTAAAAAAAAATTAATATTTTTTTGTTGGAATATGAAGAGAAGAGTATCTAAATGGATGGATTGTGATTTGGGATCTTGCTATATTAGCTGTCTTCACAGCAACGTTAACGAGCATCTACGGTAAATTGTCTTTTTTGATATAAAATTAATAACTGGCTTCCTGTTTATCTTGAGGTAATCACCTTCATCAGTTTCTGGCACTAAATCATGTATTGTTTACAAGTTATTAAGACACTGTTAGGCTTTGTTTTAAGGGGGTCTGATCCTGAATTTTTGCAATAAACAGTTTAAAATTTTTAACAAGTTGCAATATGTGAGGCAATGAATTAATGTCCTTGAACCGCTGGAAGCTTCAGTTTGACTTTGATGTTGTATTGTAAGATAACTGGGTTAGTTAATTGTTTAGCTTATAGACACAGTTTGCCAGACAAGGTCTTAAATGAATTATTAACTAGTCTGAAATGCAGCCACAGCGGGAGAAATGGCTGGTAATTGTTAAGGCCTGTGTTTACTAACCTTCACCTTTGACCTCTCCTAAGATTGTTTGTCACTGGAGATACATTATGATTGATTGAAAAATCAGGGAGAATTTTTCATCACTAAGATTTACATTAGTTAAAATTTTAAAATTTCAAGTTTTGAAATTCGCATTGAGAATTGTAAACATGCAATATTAGGCTGCAGGTACTGTTTGTATAAACTGCAACATTTCTGGTTAGACCCTGAGTTTAGAAGATGCTGACCTTATAAGCCTTCTTAAATTTAACCTTTGATCTTCCTTTAGCCACCATGAGTTCTGGATCTTTGTTGCCTTAAGTTTGTTGTTCACAGGATTTGAGCAATCATTCACTACTTGTTATCTTCTGAGACTTTCTCAAAACAATTCCATTTCCATAATTTTTTAAGAAGATGTTTTTCATAAAGTACAATCATGTATAGTTATAAGTAAGTAAAATGTGCCCAGTTGTAAATGAACTTGAATTGCTGTGTCATGTCCATCTGTCTGTCTATCTGTTGAGATGCATGTATTGTAATGATTGCATGTATCTTCCCCTTTGGGCATTTACGTAATCTTAGATCTGTAACTTTTGAGGCAAAAACATGTTTATACAAAAACAAAATTACTATTACACTTTAACAATTGTAAGTATATAAGTAGATATTGCAGTGAGTAACACTGCAGCATGCATGCTTCCTGGTTTTGATGTGAGAGCTTGGCTTCAGTATCTTTGTGTGATCTAGGGCAGACTTCAAAACATCTGTTCTTCCTGTATAATCTCTAACATGTAAACATGGAAGACTTCAGTGCAGTGTTCTGCTCTATGTCAATCAGCAACTAGACATTTATTACGCTGAGTAAACTCGTGACGAAATTACGGAGGAATTCTCGAACAATAACGCAGCAGTTCTGTGCGGAGTTTGAAATTTTAGTATTAGCTATTAAATTTTAAAAGTCTAAATAGCAGAAAATGGAGCTTGCTATGAAATATATGGAGATAATTAACAAACAGTATTCAGGCTTAAAAGTCCATTTAACAATACAAAATAGGAGCGCACAATAAACACGTACACAGGAGATTTTTCAAAATACATGAATACCCCGTTAATAAAAATAACTAGATGGGTAGCATCATTCTAAATGAGATATTTATTTCTTTATTACCAAATTTATCATACAACTTCATGAATTAAATCATTAATTATTTACATTGAACTTGATATCCCAGCTAATTTTTCATTTTTAAAACACCTCTAATGGTAATTTAAAGGGAAGTAAATGAATTGGATGACAGGTTGATCATAAACAAGCGTAATAGTGTCAATTTCATTTCAATATAACACATTTTTGTATTGTTTGAATAAAGGAATATATGGATCAAACTATGAAGGTCCGATTTCCTATATGCACACAATTATGTAGGCATTGAGACACCTAATATTTGTGATGCGCTGTAAAATTCAGGGAATATTGAATGATGATATAACTGAATAATATGATTATAATAGAAAAAAGGAAAAAATACAATGCATATTTGAGCTTACTTAAGTTTCTGTCAAAGTGAGGTAATTTGCAGACTTATTGAGTTTACAAGACAGATGAGATTTTAGCTATATTCACAAAACTTTGAGATACTACTTTCAACAATCAATGAACTTAAACCTTAAACTCAATATGTCATTAGCCAAAACTGGATGGTCATTCATTTGCATATATTGTTATTTCATGTTTGAGGGTTGAGGTTTTCATGCCCCGCAATTATCACCTCGGCCAAAATGCCCACACAGTATAAAATAAGGAATATATTATAAGTAGATGAGACTGTGTCTCTTTGCAACAATCTGAGAATTGAATTTGAATTGTGAGGTAAAGATTATAAGTTGATCATGAGACTTTATATGAATGCATTACTGTGTAATAGATTAAATTTTACATAATAACTTACTGATTAAAATGATTTAATAGTTACAAGTAAGAGTAGTTGATGGTCGAAGTGACAAATTCCTGTTTGTTTTTTTAGGAAGGCTATTTCTAAGAGCACATTCAGCAATACAAACTACCTTCATCCGAGTCATGCGGAGTCGGGATTCAGGAGGAGAGAACTCCGGTCGACGGTGGACTGGGCGGTGAGTTATCATTCCTGATTGGATCATGTACAGAAGGGTTGCAATTTGATCAATCGTTAATTTGATTCCTGTTAGTTTTTCCCATCAGATATTTTAAATTACCAGTAAGTTCTCAAAGAGTATTGAGTCTACAGGAAAGAGTATTTGCTCTAGAGTTTCATATCGAGGAGTTGATCCTTAAATGGCTACTTTGATTTCATTATGTAGTTGCATACCAAGTAGAGTACAACCCTTGATTAGGCCCTCAGTGCTAGCCTAAATTTGCATTTTGGCAAGTGGTGCCGCTTCAATATGAGTGAAACATTCTTGGAGGGACATTGCAAACACACAAAAAGTATTAAAAGAAATGTATGTAGCAGAGAGGCACTTGTCACTTCATGTAGCAGTGCATGGCACAACTAAAATGTCAATTCTTGCTTGAATTCAATTGCCTTTTGGAAAAAAAAATATTGTTATACCTTTATAAAATTGTAAATCAGGTTTTTAATGTTTTGCTGAGCGGGCATAAAAAAATCGATGTTGGACCGCTGATTGTTGGCCGCTCGGAGAGATGGTGGCTTACGTCACATATGAGTGAAACATTCTTCTTTGGTTTTAAATAGTGACAGATTGCAAACACACAAAATACATGTATTAAAAAATATATAATCAAATGAAAGGTATAACAGAGACTAGCATTGAACTGAAAGAATTCAAAAATGACATTTGATAGTGACCACTTCATGTGACTGCATATTTGAATTGCCTATTGGAAAAAAAATAATGTTGTTGTCAGAAGGTTATTTATTGTAGACACCAAGGGAGGGTAGGCTGAGGCTTAGGAATCTAAAACTTCAATATGCTTACATAATTTCAGCTCACATGATCTCAGTCTTTTTCCATGAGAATTTTTTCTGTAAACTTGTGGCTGAAGTCTGGGTTTTATGGTTGGCCAATAAGGGAGTCACTTGTCGACTTTTTGTTTACCCATTTCTGTGCAGTTCCTGAAATGTCAAAAGGACATATTCATTTTGAACAGTTTATCTCCAGCTTTAAAATGTCTATCTGTCTCACTAGCAAGATCTTCTCTTGAAAAATGTTAATTATACATATTGTTTCAATTAAAAGTTTTCAACACACATATGCCCCAACTGTATATATGATTTTTCTTTCTATTTTAGGATCAGGCGGTCAATAGTGATCACTTGTGGGTGGACACTAATGCCTCGGGTGACTACTGCTACGCCATGGAACCAGATTGTCTGGTACGTTGTCAGGTTCTTAACATATTTATAATAAAGAATGCTATATAACCCTCTACTGATGGGGATGCAAGGCAATGGGTAAAAGTTCAGTGGATAACAATTGGATTTTGAACTTGTGTGATTGTAAAGTAGATTGTTCATTTCATTACGATGAACTGTAAATGTGGCAGACATTGAAAAGATTTATATATATCTATATATGTCATATATAGCATTAAAAAGTTTAAAATATTTTCGCCTTTTTCCTCCTTATCATTGGTTTGCAAATTTAAAACCAGAAGAATTTAAAAAAACACAGTATGAATTCTTAAATAGAAATGTAGGCAAATTTAAAATGGAGCAAAATTGTTTTTAACCAAATGATTAATCATCGAATATAAAGTATTTTATTATAATTATTTTTTGACAATTTTAGATAACATGAAAGTTTAATTCAGTGTTTGTATATTTATATTACTCTGTATACAGTATTTCAGCAGTGCAAAAGTGAACACTCTCAGAGCAAGTGATTCCTCAATAAAAAGTAAAAGAGTCCATAAAATTGTTCCTTTCTTTACAGTCATGTGAGAAGATTAACTTTTCAATTAATTTATTGATTTTGATTGACCAGTATGTCCCCAATAAATAAATTTAAAAAAATATCGTTTTCTGATTGTGAAAATTTGGTGGGGAAATTTTGTCTTTTCAAAGTTTAAAGAAAAAAATCATCGAAAAAGATAATTCTATTCCATAGTGTGTAGAGCTTTAATGCCAAAGGAATTGAAGTTTACAACCAGCGATCTTCATTTATAAGCCTTGGAATTGATTTAAAACTTACCATGAGAAAATGTTGTAATACAGTAAAATTTCGCTATAACAACCCTCCAAGGAGGTGGATTAGAAACTCCTTATAAAATTAATTCCTATTAAATGTATCTCATTAGATTTTTATTGTGTTGTGCAATTTCAGAGAGTCATCATTACATTGTGCATTTTTTGCCAGCTTAATGATCAGTCCTAGGAATTGGTTTTTATCTTTTTGTCATGACTAAGAGCAATTCATGTGATGAAAACATGTATTCCTATCCATATTTGGTAAAGTTTGGTCCTACTGCTACTTGCACAATGTAGTGCAAATAAATAGTACCGTTAGAGTGCAAGGTTCATTAGGTATTGTGGTTTAATTTGCAGATAATCAAGGATGATAGTTGTACTCTATGGAGAAGAGAGAGGATTTTTTTTTAAGAATGTTCAAAGGAAAATTAATCCACAAAAAGGAAAGCTTTAAAAATTATACAGTGTATTACAAAAGATTTCTTTTCCGGAAGAGGCAATAATGCAGAAATATTAATGTGTCCTGTTTAAAAATTTAAAAATGAATCATTTATTGAGAGCTTTTGATTTCTATTAATGTTAAATGAAATATTGTTTTAATCTGCTGATATCTTCAAAAGATTTTTTTTTTTGTAGTGTTAATTTTTTAATGAGTGCACATGCCAAGAACTGTTATACTATGAAATGGGCAAGGGTTCCCTTTTACTGTAGTTGCTGTTATATGGTAGAGGGTCACCACTTCTCATAGGACTTTTGAAAATATACCTTATGGGAATGTTAATTACAAGAATCTTTTGTGCTTTCCATGCTGCATGTATAAACGACTATGTTTCCAAATGCATTTCCAAATGCCATTTACATCCCCCCCCCCCCCCCTTTACCAAAAAAAAAACCCTTAGATACATGTGCAGGAAGCTGACTAAAAGTTATGCTTTAAGTCCTGATACTAAGGTGATGCCTCCAATCTCTAATCACTATGACAGAGGAGCATACACAGTTTACGTACTGTAACAGAGTATACATATGAAGAGTTAAATATCTGTAAGCATTTCAGAACTAAAGGTGATATATAAATACTGCAGCCTTTCAATGTATTTACAGATATCTGTATTAATTATGAAAAAAGCTGCATCACACTGCATTTTATTAACATTTATTTGGTATGAGGCTAAGCTTCACAAGTATATTTGTTTGGATATTATTCCTTTTTTAAAAAATATTTTGATTTTCCTTGGATTTGAAGGGAATAGACTATATTGTGGAAAAAAAGAAAAGTAAATTGGTACATGTAACTTTGTAGCAGCTGCCTTCCATAATACTGGAGGTGCTTCATTGTCCGATGGAAAGATGTATCCTCAATCCATCTCCATTTTAAACTGCTGCAATGTTTCTGCATTATTGGCCATCAGTATGGGAGTCAATTCTTTCATTAAAAACGGAAATTGATGGATTAGACGAGAGTATTTCCACTGAATTCTGAGATTTAGCTGCGACTTGAGGCAAATTTCTCTTTATTAGGCTGATTATTTTCCCCCAAAGTTACCAACCAAATTGATTATTGGAATTGAAATTAGTGAAGAAATTTGTTTATGCGTAGCAGGGGAGTAGTGTTTTTGACTTGTGTGATCTGCGCTTGCACTTGGGTTCGAAAAGTGTTAATCCAGATAACGAATTTAAGGATATATTTTCAGAGTGCCATAAAACGCGAGAGAGAAAATATACTGTGACCGATTCTTGCCTGTTTTATCTATCCAATTTTATGCAGTAATAAGTTTAGCATTTGTAGCTCAGCTGATTTATCTGTGGAGTGAAGTCCTCTGGGACTATTTTTATAATGGGAATGTTATAGGTTTAGTGTGGAATGCTATCAAAGCATCTGACCTGGTCTGTTATATTGACGGACAAGTGGATGAAAATTAATGAAATAAGTACGAAATGTGATCCTAATATAAGTAGTTTAGTATTAGGTGATCACGTTTTTATAGGGTAATGGAAAATTGTATGTTTCTGTTGAAAACCTCCGAGGAATTGAGGCACAGATGTATGGAATAGGTGGCATTTAAAACAATTAGACTGAAACCATGAAGCTGAAATAAATAACATGAAATTGTTGACGTAAATCAAATTTTCGGCATTAGCATGGGACTAGATGAAGACTTGTGATAGATTTAACGTTTTCGTTAATACTAAAATGTTGTTTTATGACAAAAAGGCTATGAACAAATTATGGTCCAATATTGCTACCATTATCAGTTTCAAATGTGGAAAATATGCCAACAATCAAACAAAATAAATGGAATTGGCATTTTTTTTTCTAATATTGAAAATTATCTTTATAGTAACTTAGTCCATAGTGTCCTGGTAATTTATTATAACAGTTTTTTTTCTATTGCAGAAAACGGGACCAAGGAAAAAATGTATTGCTTGCAAGATTGTGGCTCATACAATGTGTATTCCTGTCTTAGAAAAGGTACATATATGTTAAAACATAAAATTAATAATTGTATTAACCTGTTTCTTTAGTGTCATCGCATCAAGTTAATCATATTATAACCCCCACCCTGTAAATGTAAATAAAAAAGGGGATGTGAATCATAGTGCATTGAACTCAACCTTGTCCATCATTCTGTGCAATTCTGTCTGGACAGTAACTTTTTAATAGAGAAACATTGAAAGCTAATGGCAATAGACTGTATAATGACCTGATCATGCAGATGTCATGTCGTGTACTAGAGCCAAGGTCACTACAGCAAACTCGCAGAAAAAGTGAAGAATTTGTGTCTGGCCGATAACTTTATAAAAGAGATACAATTGAATCTCAAACCTAGCATAGAGATTGCTGACTTTGACCAAAGGTCACAATAAGCAGGCTCCAGGTCAATGACTGAGAGAAAAAAAAAAACATGATTGGTCCGTGATCAAACATTGGTCTGTAACTTTCTCACAAATTCGGCAACAATGTCTTGTTGGTTGTCATAACCTTGACCTCAGCTTATTTGGACAAAGTTAAGGTCATTTAAAGAAAGATGTATTTTGGCACTGAAGGAGGCTTGTGGATCAACAAATTAACCACAAATTAACCACCAGATTTAACTTATTTCTTTAGATATAGTATCTTTAGCTGTCAACTATCATTTGGCAAAGAAAAATATTCATACATTTTAGTTTTAAAATTTGATCATTTTTGTATATTTTTATATGGAGCTCTTCTTCCAAAAGAGATTGAAAAAGTTTGAGATGGATATAATTTTGTGAGCTAATCATGCTAATCATTGTTTTTTTAAACACATCTATTTCTTGAGTAATTTTCTTTTGTACTAAATAGTTGACAGAGAAGAGGTTTTTAATTCCAATTCTTCCTTTGAGTAATTGAAGCACCCAGAATGTTACCATTATTCATTTCTTTGTTCAGTAAGAGACTGAACATTTCCACTTTTCAATTTCTATTTCCTCAAAGCTTTAATCTAGTCTTGTTAAGCCGATGCATACTAATGATGTCAAAATGTTCATTGTGTTTCAAACAGATTAAAAGGTTTTGAGATTTCAAAGGTTTTAATTGAAAAAAGGCTTTTAATTTTGAACGGGATCCAAGACTTTGTCATTTCACTTCACAAAAGTAATATACTCTTTCATCAAATCATCTAGGATTCTTTTTCTGATCACATTTTGAAGTTGACTGATGTTTCTACAAATGAAGGATCATGCTTTCTTTTAAGGAAAGATGAATAAAAATTAATGTAAAATCACTAATTTCCATAGAAGTTTAATTTTCATTGTTTAGTGTAGTTTCATATTTGATTGAGGCCCTCAGGAGGTAGGGTGGGACAACAGAAATATGATCTAAGTTTATTAAGTGTGAAAATCTAGGGAAAAAAATTTCTGATGAACAGTAAGGATATCAGAAATCAGGTGAGTGTTGCTATCCACAAGCCTCTTTTTTGGTCATCATGATGGTCAAGTGACGTTATAGCCTTAATAGTCAGTAAAAAAAGTGATAGCTAGAAGTTATAAGTAGAAAATAAAACAAGCAGAAGAATAGTCTGCTGCAGAAAAGACATTAGGTGGGATTTATAGCTGTCAGTTAAAAAAATGTACAAAGACTACCAGGTAGATACAGTGCACATGACATGCAAGACTTCTGTATTAATGTAAAAGAAAACCAGATTGAAAGCTAATTATTTATGGGAGAATAATCGGATATAGCCTGTAAAAGGAAAGAGAATGTTCTGACATCATTGTGTAAGCGGGATATCTTTATTGTAGAGTGACATCAACAATTGATAGATGTTGACACTTATCTTTACAAGACTTTACCATAATCTTGATTTAGTAAAACTTTGTTTCAAATTAGAGTAAGAAATTATCTGATTATAGAGTGTTCCAAGGAAGTCTTGTGTTGCCTGCTTTGTACATGTTGTAGCTTAATTAAAGATGTAAATAAATCTAAGAGTGCTCATGATGAGCTATTTATTTGCTATTAGCATTATAGTTCATGCATTTTTTTCAATGTGAAAGGGGGGAAAAATCATCCACAGATAGTGATATCTTGATAGTGGTAGAATCTTACAATCAAAAAGAAAATGGTTGCCTCCAGCTACCTCACATGAATATTGAAATTATTAGAAGTATTTATCTGTGTAGTATATTTGCCTTTGAAAGAGATTTTTGTTTGTCAGCTTGACTGTAATTGTTAGTCTTAAATGTAAAAAAAAAATTCTATATATTTGTGCTATAAACAGTCAACTATTTATAAAGTGTAGGTCAAAGGTCAAAGATAGGTGTAAGAGACGGACATATGCCATTTAAAGTAATCCCTTAGAATTTCTCTGATCTGCAGGGAGTACATTTAAAAGAAGTACCTTGTATATTCTATGTTGTGTTGTACTTTTGTCAGTGTCCAATTCCTACCCCCCCCCCCCCCCCCCCCCCCACTTTAAACAGAAATTAAATGCACCAGTACATGATGACTGAAGGACCGGTTCACATTTCAAATCAGACACATTTATGTAAGTTTGCTATTTTAGAAGTTCTGCTTGCCTTAGAGACAATCACATCACAATGACAAGATGATGCAGTTAAAAGAACCACAGAAATATTAAGAGATACAATGTCTGTGCAGCTTTTTTTAAGGATTCTCTTTGAATATACTCCTGCAGGACAAATATAGCACATTCATCAGGATAAGGAATGATATATTCATAGAGTAAAAGAAAAAGGATAATTTAGGAATATCTTTGATCTTGCATGTATTCTTGACCAAAAAAAAAAGCTATCAGTTTTAGACGGGAAATATTCAAGATGATTCTCCAGTTAATTTCCTTCTAACCTTTACTAGAATGTGTTCAGTGTAGACATATCCCCCAGATCAATGAAGTCAATGAGACATCAGACAGATTAAATGACAAACTTTCTTTTCTGTGACCAGATATCTCAAATTCATATGATATATGTATCATCAATATATTGAAAAACTTTGGAGTGAACTTGCTTATCAATTGAAAAAAAAAATGAAGGAGGAAAATTGGTTTAAGGTTATAATGGAGTTCATTGACATTACTATCTGTTACAGAGATTTGAAACTTATTATTACTTGTCCCTCAGGGTCAGTTATTGTTCTTCATCGTCCTTGAAGGAAATTCTGAATCTTTCACTGAAAATATTCAGTAAACTCAATTTTAACGAAGTCACTGGGACCTGTGAAATTACTTCGCTATATCTGTAATACGTTATATCCATAAAAGGAAATTTATATAGCTGAGGATCTAAGATCACTTCGCTATATCTGTGAAGTTTGTACACTAAACGAGTTTTATTGTATTACCGGTAATGGAAAAAAGAAAAAAAATGAAATTTTATTAAATTGAAGAAAGACTGGAATATTTTTCAAGATTTGATATTTCCTAAGAAAATCAGACTCATATATTTTTCATTTCAGAAAAATTTGAGATGTAAACCAACATTCCGAGAGGCTGGTGTACGAAATTATCGAGAGGTAAGTACCCCCCCTCCCCCCCCCCCAACCAATATCACATGCAATTTATTGCAGCATCAAAATAGTGCATGATCTTGCTAATAGTAGATAATAAATTCCTATAATCGTGCACCGTATTTTACTAAATAGCTTGTGCTAATTGTAATTGCACCCCATGTTTTGACATTGTAATGTTGTTTGCTGTATAAATCTGTTACGTATGTATTGCTGTCTTACAGGAAAGCGACTCTGAACCTTCGGTACGTCTCTGTTTTTTACAAGCAGATTGTCTGAACCTGTTTTGTGTGTATGTGCGTGTGCGCGTGAACAGCACGCTCTCCTTTTTAACTTGGCTTTGTACTAAACATACCATTTAATGGAACAATCCAATCTTCAATTCCATTCCATTTTGCACTGAACAGCAGCCTTTGATCTTAATTATGATGCAACTGCTAATTAGGCGACACTTTCCTATGTATTTTAATCACCCTATATGCTAAATAACAACATTTAATAACTTTTCTATTTGAACTTAAATAGGCTCAGTAGATGACTCTCTAACAGAACTTAGTGAACAACTTATACTTTTTCAGATCAAACTTTGGAGCATTTTTTGACATCAGAACACAATAACTATATAGAGTATTGCTATCATTAACTTTTGCCAGGGATGTAAGAGGGAGGACATGTTTCTTTACAGTAGCCACCACAAAAATACAAGTTGGCCATCTGTCATCCAACTTTAGTAAGGTGCTACCACCAAAATATCTGACAGCCCCGTAGTACTTTTTGGTAACCAATGGATGCTTATGTGGCCAGCACCAGAAAGCTATGTGATGGCTGCCAGATAATGTTTTATCACAAGGGATTAAATAATCACAAGTGTTCAATCTACAATAATTTTTGGTGTCTGTAAACAGGATACTCTGTTTTTAGAATGGTAATATTTTCAGTTAAAAAAATACAATAGAATAAATATTCTCATGTTTTTTTGATATACACAGTATTTTATCATCAATTACATAATGTAAAAGTAATAAAACATTTTTTGTTCCAGATAAATATGAATTTCATGGTGTACAAATTGGCACAAGCTTATTTAAGACTTCATTTGTAGTGTGCTTGATAAATGATTGTGTTGGGAACAATATATTGGTGCTTTTGATTTGGAATAAGACCTTTGATGGTGATGAAGTAGCTGTGCAGTGTAAATTTGTTTAAAGAAACCCCTGGACATTCATTGTCAATAGAGATTCTCCTCTCACAATAGTAACACCTCATAGTGACAGCCAGGATAAAACATTGTAACAAATCACTTGTATTCATCTTTCTCACAAAATCAGAATGAAATGTGCAGATAATGAATAAAAAAGCTCCCACATTGTAGCTTTTGGCATAATTCTTGTACAAACAGTTTGCATTGGAAATTTTTAGTAATGTCACTCATCTTTGATGTATAAGCCATTTGGGTTGTTAATTTTGGTATCTGTTCTATGTACATAATTTATAATTTGTCATACATTTTATCAAGTAAATGTTTTGAATTTTTCAAAAAGAAATTTTGGCAATATCAAACATTCTGTTATAAGCATGTAATGAAAATTACAATGAAAAATATGGATGTAAAAAACAGAATTCTCATTCCAAATGTCCATAAATATTTTTTATTTGTCATCAAAAGCTTAGTCGTGCAGTTTTACCAATCTGTGACCAGATATTAATCGTTAACCTGTTTGAAAGAAGCTTATTTTACGGTAATATACTCCTGAGTGCACATTAAGTGGACTGAAGACTATTGGATGTTCTGTCACATGTGATATTGCATGGGACATTCACGCGGAGAAGCTAATATCTGCCCCCACATTGTATTGATTTCATTACAGTGCCCAGAGGTTTCCCACTTATTTCAATATATCCCGTCCAATCTCCCCGCTGGGCTCTTTCTCCCTATTTTCCTATTATGGAGACTTGACCTCAAATTGAACCTTTTATTTCCTTTTTCTGATGGTATTAAACAAGCATTTTGATCCTTTAACTAGTCTAATACAGGAATTATTAAGGCTTTTATTTGTCTAAGAATACAATTTAATCTTAAATAATGTAAGGAATTTTTTTTGTTTATGAATTTTAAGACAGAAGGTTTTGTGTATATGTAATATCTACTGCATACAGGGAAATTTTCGCCCCCTAATTTGCCCTAATTACAGGTGGATGAAATTTATCAAAACAGGTCAGATTCAAAGAATAACAGTAAAGATTTCTTAAACAGAACCGTGACTGGGCGAATTTAAAATGGGCAAAATTGTTTTGCAAGTGCAAAAGGGCAAATGAATAACACAAGGCAAAATTAACACTTAATTATACAGTATGTTAGCTAGCATACAATACAGTCTGAATTAGTTACATATAAAAGAAATGTGAAACTACCTCAATCAAAATCATAAATTAGCTAATGATAAAATCTTGCTCTTTTTTCATCAAATTTGATAGTGCATCTGAGCTTAAATTAATTAACAACCTGCTCATTAATTAGTTTGATATTACAAGATTTGCACCTGGGAAATCTTTTGTGATACATTATTTTTATCAAAAATAAATTATAATCATTGTGTTGCTGTCAAACATAAATTTTCATATATAACAAATGTGCTTCTATATAGATGAAAAACAAGGATGTATAATACAAACGGAGAAACTGACAGTTCTGACATAGCATCTAAGTTAACTGAGTAAAAGCCAGATATATTTGGTAATTTGCAAATATGTAACAATGTTCAGTAAAACATGTGCTTATAGCAAAGTTCAGGGATGTGCAAATTGGATTCTATGTAATCATACTTTATTATATCTTTAAATAATACAGTAAATTTTTAAACCGCAGGGATTGAAAATCACTTTGCTGAGTTTAGCTTGAGTTCATTATTAAGCATTTTATCTATAATAACGTGGTATAAACAAAATGCCGGCATGAAATAGGAGTTCTCTATTATACCAGCAGCCTTAACTATGTCATGATGAACATAAAACCAGAAGAAATCTGAGATTTACCACAAGGGAAATGGAATTCTTCCTGAGAATGGTCCATTGACTTTAAACATAGGCAAATATCAAATAACTTTTCTAAGGTCTAACAATTAGGATAATAGGCAATAGGCAAGATTTGTCAGATGAAAGTCAAGGATGGCCAGGTTATAAGCAAGGATAATCATTTGATAGGCAAGCTAGGATAACAATGTGATATAGGCAAGGATAATTAGGTGATAGGCAAGGATAATCAGGTGATAGGCAAGGATAATAATGTGATAGGCAAGGATAATAATGTGATAGGCAAAGATAATCAGGTGATAGGCAAGGATAATAATGTGATAGGCAAGGATAATGATGTGATAGGCAAGGATAATCAATATGCAGCCTTAATGTGATAGGCAATGTCATAGGCAAGGATGCATATAAAACCATATAGAAAGGATAATCAGGTGATAGGCAAGGATAATCAGGTGATACGCAAGGATAATAATGTGATAGGCAAGGATAATCAGGTGATAGACAAGGATAATCATTGATAGGCTTTTTCAAAAATAATCATGAACAAATAGCAAATAACTTTTCTAAGGTCTAATAATTAAAGATAAAAGGCAAGATTAATCGGATGAAAGTCAAGGATAATCATGTGATTATGTGAGAATAATCAGGTGATAGGCAAGGATAATCAGGTGATAGGCAAGGCTAATCAACTGATAGGCAAGTATAATAATGTGATAGGCAAGGATAATCAGGTGATAGGCAAGGATAATCAGTTCATAGGCAAAGATAATCAGGTGATAGGCAAGGATAATAATGTGATAGGCAAGGATAATAATTAACTAATAGGCAAGGATAATCATTTGAAAGGCAAGGATAATCATGTCATAGGCTAGGATAATCGTGTAATAGGCAAGAATAATTAACTAATAGGCAAGGATAATCAGATGATAGGCAAGGATAATCAGGTGATAGGCAAGGATAATCAATGTGATAGGCAAGGATAATCATGTGATAGGCAAGGATAATCAGGTGATAGGCAAGGGTAATCAGGTGATAGGCAAGGATAATCAGGTGATAGGCAAGGATAATCATGTAATAGGCAAGGGTAATCAGGTGATAGGCAAGGATAATCAGGTGATAGGCAAGGATAATCAGGTGATAGGCAAGGGTAATCAGGTGATAGGCAAGGATAATCAGGTGATAGGCAAGGATAATCAGGTGATAGGCAAGGATAATCATGTGATAGGCAAGGATAATCAGGTGATAGGCAAGGATAATCAGGTGATAGGCAAGGATAATCATGGACTAGGCAAGGATAATCAGTTGATAGGCAAGGATAATCAGGTGATAGACAAGGATAATCATTTGATAGGCAAGGATAATCAGGTGATAGGCAAGGATAATCAGGTACTAGGCAAGGGTAATCAGTTGATAGGCAAGGATAAACAAGTGATAGGCAAGAGTAAGGCATTTAATGTTCACTCAGTATTCATTTTTTTTTTGCTGTTGATGATTTCAAAAGAATGTGTGTATATTCAATTTTTACCAAGTTATGTAATAGATGATGGTGCAAACCATTTCTAGTTTATTAGATTGTTCTGAAACAAAGAATAAAGTTAATGTGGTTAATATAATGGTACTAGTCATCTTACCCTCAAAGAATTTCGTCAAAATTTAAATTAAAAAAAAAAAATTATTAAATTAATAAAATTAATGCGCACCTCGTTAGTTGCTTTGTAGGGTGCGATGGGAGCTAGTTAATTAGTTTTTCTCAAAACCTGATATTGATGAGTTCACTGTATTTCATGTTGACAAAGAGCACTGTGCTATACATTTTATAATTTTCCTGATGTCTGCTGTAGAAGTACAATTCTATTCACTTGTTGTTGTTTTTTTCTTTATTGCAGCAAACATTCATGAGACACCATTGGGTCCACCGACGGAGGCAGGAGGGAAAGTGTAAACAGTGTGGGAAGGTAACTGTCCTCCGATCCATTAGTTAATTATATAGGTCACACCTCATTATATCAAAGTCAATGGGACCAAGAAAAAACATCAAGAGTTTGGGTTTCAGATAATAAGGTTTGACTATATATGCTTTCTGTACACTTAGTAATGACTTGTCTGTGTTCTCTGATTGCTCAAAATTCAGCACTCGCTACTTATTTGTGCTCACATTTTGCTCAATTCTTTACTCATTTTTAATTTTTTTTTTAATTCCCTTCACAAGTTGATCAAACACAGGCATCATGGAAAATATAATTCTACTAAGGCATTCAAAATTTTGGGGTTTTATCCACCATGAATGAAATTGCAAAAATGAATGCTTAGTGCACATAAGTGTGAGCATAAAACAGTTAATGCTGAGCAAATTAACGGAACATATAAGAATACTGAGCAATTTACCTTAATAGAAATAAATGAACTGCAAATGGACTGTGAGTGAGCAGTTTAACACTATATAGCTGCAAATAGTGAAAAGTGGTATATAGTAGAAGGTCAGGTTTTAACAAGAAAAATAGTAATATATGATTGTAAAAAATATTTACAATTACGAGATTAAATTAAAATGTATTTGGGGAAAAACAGTATTGTTTATCAATATAAATCAATTTCTATCTTAATCAAGGGCAAAAAGAATCAAAAGTCATTTCCATTTAGTTTAATCAGAAGTATTGGCAGAGGTTATGTTTGCGATTGACTCGTACATTGAACCCCTGTGATGTTGACACAAAATTCCCGTGATTAAATAATGTCTGTAATCGGATTATCCACTGATGCCACGGAATTCCGAGACCTTGATCAGAATTTTTCAATCTAATATTTGATTTTCTTGTACCTGATATTAATAATTAACCAGTTAAATTAGATCCCAGAAATGTCACCCTGACTTTTTTATATAATCCTTATATTATTGGCGTGTTTGTTAGGCTTTCAAATCATATAATATGAAAGAGAAGAAAAATTTCATAATTTCATGAAGGACAAATTACAAAAGATTAATAAAACTGTGTACGCTAGAGTAGTAGCTGTACTTGAAACAGTAAAGGAATTTTATTGCAAGATTATACAATACTGGGTCAATCGCACTTACAAGCTGCCCCAGTAATCATCGTTTTATGATGTTTCTGCTAACTAGTACGTTGACACATATTTTGCTGTTACAAAATGCCAACACTTCAAAAAGGAAATACCTAATAACTCAGGGGAGATCAATAGTCAAGCCACGAGTTAAACAATTAAAACAATGGATCACCATAGATTTAAGGTGTGCTTAGGGTTACAGCCCTAATTAACAGGTGCAATTATGTTGCAGGTAAACAGATTTTTACATAAATCATAAACTACTTCACAATTTGAAACATTTACAAACCTGGCGGTACTTAAAGATTGCTTATTGTTTTCCTAACACCTACGTGATTGGAAAGTTTCATAATTTGAATTGATTTCTACGGCTAGGATAGTCTCCTCTATAACTTTGTGTTTATCTCGCGCCGTATCAAATATTGTAGGTGACTTAATAAACTTCCTGGTATCGACAACGTTAAATAATAATTTAATAATGGTAGGAAATTGGTTGGTGTTATTTGTTTGTATTTTAGCTGCTGCAGTGTAAAGCTGCCTACAGGTCTATTCTTTAGCATGACTAGTGACAAAAAATTCGACCATTTGTTATCTGTAGGGGAAAATGTACCTGTATTGATATGAAACAGAATACTTTAAAAATTCTCTCATAAATGTTGTTCAATATTGAATTTCTCCTGTAAGTAGGGAAATATACCATTGATTTTAATTTTTTTTTTTTTGTTTTCCAGTCTTTTCAGCAGAGATTTGCATTCCAGAGCAAGGTATACTTTAGAATTTTCCTCATTAAATTTTGTTTTTTAAAACAACATTTGATTTTCCTCATTTCTTCAAATAAAAAAATAACATCATAATCATTTTCATCAGATCTTCTATTGATATTTCTTTTCATCCCACATTTGTTCAGGAACAATTGAAATCTAATTAAAAGTAAACGAGTTGCTGAATAAAGGCAATATAAAATGAGGCATGATTGAAACTCATATATACACAGTTACAGATATCCTCAGTGCAGTAATATCTATAACTACAAGAAAATTCATATCCATAAAAATGTCCTCTTTTTATTTGCTGGAAAAATTTCCTCTCATATAGAAGGTATGAATAAAATTCTTCCTTAGTGAATCTGAGGGAGTTTTGTGTTTTTGAGAAAAATATTTTCATTTTGATATTTAAAAAAAAGATATGTTATTGAAAATCTCTGTAAGTGAATATTTTAGTCATTTAGAATTATTCTCAGGAGTGCACATACCGGTACATTATGTTCAAATCAGGGCCTCTGTGGGTAGGATCAATTATAAAAAAGAAAATTGAAGATTTTACCTTAACCCCACCCCCACCCCCATCTTTTGAGATACGTATGTTTGCAGTTCACAGATGAATTATTTGTTTCTTCTTTGGAATTGTAAATCAGAAACCATCATAATACATGGAGAAAATATAGTTTGATAATTCAGCATTTTCTATGTAAGTCATATGATCTACATTCATTTCATTTATAAAGCATTGTGCATGATTTTTTTTTAACCTGGATGTAGTGCACCACACCTTTATAATAATCTCCCAGAAAATTGATTTAGCCTTGAAACAGAGTAATAAAAGATATAGGTTAGATTATTGCAGGGATGAGGTTATGTTGCCACAAATTTATGAGTTTCATTTTCCCTTTCTGTAATAAAAAAAACCCAGAGTCTCCTTAAGCCTTATTACTTTCTAAAGGAATGCTTAAAGTACAAGGAAAAGATTGATAAGGAGCTTATTCATTTCTCGAGACAAGAGTCAAGGTCAAATCAGAAAACGAAAAACGTGACTTTATTGTATTTGTAAAATAGGAAAATTAATGAATAAAACGTGACTTTATTGTATTTGTAAAATACTTGTTGCTAGTTGAAATTCCACTATGAATTACCTCTGTGTTTTGGTCCCCTGATGGTAATACTGGATTGGACTCTTAGATTTTTTTCTAAATTTTTTCCCCATCTGTCTGTCTGTATGTTTGCCAGTTCCCTGTTTAACTTGCAGGTTTTTTAAAAATATTTTTCTGGAGACATGCCTTATACTGAGTTAATTTTTAGTAAGTGGCTGTATGAGGTTTACTTTTGTTCCACCTCAATGACTTTTTGAATGAATTTTGGTCCATTGTATACCTAGGGGATATCGATGCAGTATTGTTTAGATCATTCTCTCTATTCTAATCTTTTGTGCCTGATAGTTTTATAAGTTGTTCAATGTAATGTTTTTTATCAATCATAGGACTCAGATTTCCATTGTTACATGTTTAATTTTGGTTTTACAGGAGATAATTGCGATCAGCTGTTCGTGGTGTAAGGCAGCGTATCATAATAAGGTGTCCTGCTTTATGATGCAGCACATAGAGGAACAGTGCACACTGGGTGCCCATCAGAGCATCATAGTTCCACCGTCGTGGATCATAAAACTTCCAAAAAAAGTAGACAGCATTTCTTTAAAATCTCATGTCCATGTGTTTTTTGCAGTTTTGAATTTTGAATTATAAAAATTATTTATTTATTTGTAAAAAAAATATTTTCAGGGAAAGAGCTTATTGAAGTAGTTCATTATTTTCTAAAAAAAAAAAATGAATCAATGTTTTCTAAATTGAAGAAATTTATTATTTATTAGGTTGACCCTATCTTCCATTTTTATATATTGTATAATTTATTCTGATATATTTTTTGCAGGGGTCTTTCAAATCATCATTGAGAAAAAAGAGGCGAGCCTCTATAAAACGAAAGAAAGCCAAGGAAGAAAATCGTCCATTCATAATCAAGCCCATTCCCTCCCCCCTCCTAAAGCCACTTCTCGTCTTCATTAATCCCAAGAGTGGTGGGAACCAAGGGGCCAAACTCATGCACAAGTTTTGTTGGTGGTTAAACCCCCGTCAGGTGTTTGACTTATCTCACGGAGGACCACGACCAGGGTACGTAATGGCTATATTTAACAGAGTACATATAAAGTACATGGTTACTGTCTTGGAATATAAGGGATATTTGGGTTAGGGTAAGAAAACGTGATAGAGGGCGAGGCATGCAGAGCCCTCCATCATGTTTTTGACCCGAGCCCAAATATCACATATTTCAAGACAATGATAATGTATTTTGTTTATCCTGCAACATATATTTACATCTGACCTCCAAAATGAATTATTTTCAATCCGATTTAGACACATCTCTGCAGTGGAAATCAAGATGCCATAGCATGAAGCATAGCATAAAGCAGGACACCTTGTTAAGTTACGCTGCCTTACACAATGAACAGCTGATCACAATGCTTTTAGAACGTCGGAATACATGCACAAGGCTGTATTAGGGCATTGACCGAATAAAGCTGTAGTTTATTACCTAGGTTACCTTTATTAGGTCAATGCAAGGGGTAGTTGCATGATAAATAATAAAAAATTTACCAGGGTACATAATGGCAATGTTAAGTGGTGATATACCATGAACCAACTAGTATTTAAAATGCAACAACTTATAGGCATGTTTGGTTATCGAAGTCATTCCATGACTTAATTTGTGCAACCAAGGAAATATATTCTACATAAATAATTATTTTAAAAAGTGTTTCTCATCAAGAAAGAGTGTGAGTGTAAGAATATAGCTAAACTAATGAGCTAAATTGCAGCTTAAATTATTAGTAAGACTGCCACTTTTTATTCGCTTGATAGGAAAGTTGAGGTAACAGAAAATTTATCTTTGCACTCCACTGCACTTGTGCAACAATTGTTATTAATAAATCAAGCTTTTCAAATCCCAAATATCTCTATTGTTAAGCATTTGAGTTAAAAATGTACTGTGTATGGATTAACTTTCCATTAGGAAATTTTAACTCATTTAATTTCCACTAAGTAAAAAGTGAAATCAAACCAAATACACAAACAAGACTACAAAGAGACCCTCATACATAGAAAAACTATTTAACGTGTGGACTACCCGTATATAAACGACGAGTCCTATCTGCTGGATGTTCTGGACTGAAGGCTGCACCAACCCAGCCCTTTTAATCCTTTGAAGCTGAAAGTCAATGAACAGTTGATGAACTAAAATTCTACTTATCTCTCGGTGTCTCTCTCCCATTAATGGATTTTTACAAAGAACAAAAAGATTAAAAAAAAATACTTCCAAGGACAATGGAAAATACTCTAATGCAACGCTAGCGATTTTAATGAAAAGTGATCTATCCTCTTCATCTTCGTTTTAGCTAAGAAAGTTTTATGGATATAATGACTATCTTTTGTTTTGTTTGACTTTCGTTTTTATTATTTACGAGCTTTTACATTACGGTATTTTTAATAACAGAGGAAAGGTATTAAAAATTGAAGACTGGTGATAATAAAACACTTCAAATTAGGAGAGGCCAGATGAAATGAAGGGAGCGTTAGCATCCCTGTTATTAAAAGTACTCCGGCGGGTAAAGTTATATCTAGGGAATAAAATGTCTACAGTCTGCACCGAACACTCCCAGCAGAAGTGCAGCTCGTACAAACCCTTGGTGCAGTTGTATGCATGCAGTCATGAGTTTATGTCTTTTCATTGAAAATTAATGTTGTGGTCATTAAGCAAGCCGATTTTACATTTACTTATTTGAAATACAATAAAACATTTATATTATATTAATAAAGGAAGAAAGTTATAGTTTACAATGTAGTTGCTGAACATCTTTACACTCTTTCTTAGAGAGATTGATGTATCAAATGAGTCAAATAACTTTGTTGTGTCAAATGAGCTAGAAGTTCAATCCACTTCTAATCTTTGCGTATTTTAATTTCAATATCTCAAATGATGAACAGCATCTTTTTCCTCAGTCCAGTAGACTTTCATATCAATGAAATGTGACCATAGTACTTGCTTCTTTAAAAAAATTATGTGCTTTAAAGTTAAATTATTTCTTCCTTACAGACTTGAGCTGTATAAGAAAGTGCCTAACTTGCGTATCCTGGCCTGTGGGGGAGACGGAACGGTAGGCTGGATCCTCTCCGAAATCGACAGTCTGGGCATTAAACCTCCCCCACCCGTAGCCATCATGCCACTGGGCACAGGCAATGATCTCTCTCGAACCCTCAACTGGGGAGGGGTAAGTCTAAATATTCTGAATGATGCAGGTTTAAAATTTGATACCAGAGCAAAAACAAGTTATAAAAACATTTTGTTAAACATGTCTGTTTATCACACAGAGTTGAAGGTTGAATTCTGGAGACTATCTCTTTTTTAGATTGATCATAGTAATATACGTTGAGATAACAATAATTCTTATTGGTGAATTATCCAGTGTAACTGTCTGGAATCCATCTTAGTGCTATAAATAAAATATTGGTTTTTGGTTTTTTCTGATAAAGCTCGTCAGCAATTTTGGTGGTTTTAATGTTACTTTAAATAAAGAGCTTGGCTTTATAAAGCCTTTGGATTTCTTTGGGGTCACAATTTTGAAGGACATGGCCTCTGTTGTAAAAATGGTTACTTTATTGCCATGCAATTACTTCTGAAGTTCTAAATAAAGTGCTCTTGTATGGCATCTTCTATCTCTGTAGCAGCAATGGAAAGTAGTTGTACTTTCAGAAGGACACAAATTCATGGGATTTCCTTGTTCCTTGGAGTTTGAATTGTTATGCTAGGAAATTAATGAGAAAGAGTATAGATGGAGAATTCTGGGGCAGCCTTGAGATGCTTGTTTTATTTCCTTTTGCATCCTACTACGGTCATTCAGAGACCGTGAATGATGGTTAGGATCATTGACAAGAAAGCATTCTCATGTTGTTTTGTAATGTATCAGGTTGTGGGATTAGGGAATAAATTGTCTCAAGGTTTACATTAAACATTAAAAAAAAAAGAATGGATATTTTTTAAAAACTTTGAAGTCCTTTCAGTAGAGGTCTGAAACTGAATAAGGAATTTGATTTAGAAATTGGCTATGCATAAGGAAATGATTTTTGTTCTTAAGAAAATTGCCTTTTTATTAAGTTTTTTTTATCATTTATAGGGCTATGCAGATGAACCAATCACCAAAATCCTTAGTTATGTGGAGGAGGGCCAAGTGGTTCAGCTAGACAGGTAAGTTATAGCAGTAAATCAGCAAGACAGGTGAGTTATAGCAGTAAATCAGCAAGACAGGTGAGTTATAGCAGTAAATCAGCAAGACAGGTGAGTTATAGCAGTAAATCAGCTAGACAGGTTAGTTGTAGCAGTAAATCAGCCAAACAGGTTTGTTGTAGCAGTAAATCACAATATTATAAATACAAGACAATAAATGTAACATTATTTCTTGTAATAGAGTAATAGAGGAAAATATGAAGAAAATTTCCCCATCCCCAGGGGGCCAAGAGTATCTAAGGGATGGACTTGACTGTTACCCACAGTTTCATGCTTTTAGAATGTATGATATGCTGAACATAGAAACAAAGTGGTCCTTATGTGCACAAATTTTGCTCACTTGCTATTTTTTTAAAAACCCTTCAAATGTTTCACCTTCTGCTGTAGTAACATTAACTGTGAAGGCACAAATTGTACATATGCAAAGCTACTAAGTCAAGAGCTTCAGAATGTTTTTTACTCATTGCTATTTACTTATACTTACAAGAAAATGTAACATTCACATATAGGCAAGATTTGGAAATTCAGCTGCTGCGTTACTGGTAAATTTAACTATTACAATCATTCCCTTGCCTACATTCATCAGATGTTTCCATCTGAAGCGTGAATCATTATAGATGATGCTGAACTTGCATGCAAATGCTTTGATTTGATTGGACACCTATTTGTCCCCGATGGGCAGTTGGCTAGTCTTAGTGTTATTAAGACTTAGAGTCTTAGTCTCTGAGGCCAGGAATTCCTGCTGAATGATCTTTTCTAGTTCACAGTGTAATACTCTAAGCATCACGGTCTAGACGGGGGAAAATCATGCTTTTCTGTTCATAAGTCTGACCTAAAGGACATCCAAGGATTATGATAGATTTACTCCTCCAAGGATTTGTCAATATCTTCAGGATAAATCCATTTTGGCTCATTAAGCAAAAAAAATTCCTTTGCTATTCAGTCAAAAAAAAATTTTTTTATATAACCTTTGTAAATTGCATTTTCTGTTAAAGTGTATGTTTTGATTGTCTATGACTGCTATGGGTAAACATTGTAAATTGGAAATTTCAACATTTTCTGGTTAAAGTGTAGCAATTTTGATTGTCTATGACTGCTATGGGTAAACATTGTAAATTGGAAATTTCAACATTTTCTGGTTAAAGTGTAGCAATTTTGATTGTCTATGACTGCTATGGGTAAACATTGTAAATTGGAAATTTCAACATTTTCTGGTTAAAGTGTAGCAATTTTGATTGTCTATGACTGCTATGGGTAAACATTGTAAATTTGAAATTTCAACATTTTGGGGTTAAAATGTAGCAATTTTGATTGTCTATGACTGTGTTTTAAATTGGAAATTTCAACATTTTCTGGTTAAAGTGTAGCAATTTTGATTGTCTATGACTGCTATGGGTAAACATTGTAAATTGGAAATTTCAACATTTTCTGGTTAAAGTGTAGCAATTTTGATTGTCTATACTGTGTTTTATTGCATGCTTGAACAAAATCATTCCAGAAAAATAGATATACAATACCCAAAAATCACTTTTGAGACTGCTATGATCCCTGGTGCCAAAACTTTTCATTTCTTTTGCATTTGATGATAAAGATGGTTAGGACAGCTAGGAAACACGATTACTGTAATATTTTTTGGTCTGGTGTGTTTGCAATCTATTCACATCAAAGCCTTTGATATTGAATTGTAAATAAGTCCGCGGGGAATACATTGATATGATTATATTTGTTGGTCTGTATCAGTAAAGAATTGTATACATCTGTCAGAATGTTAATTATTTAGTAGTATATAAGGAAGTTATTACTCCCGTACTTGTAGGAGGTCATCAGGAAATGAGGCCCCGGGGGGAAATTGTTCCTCAATATTCCTATCCCAACATCCATAAATTAGACGGAAACAATAAACATTGTCCAAATTTACATGTAGGAAACTTGATTGTGAGCAATATCAAAATTGCTTTGATAAATAAAATATATACAACATGTCAGCAGTATTTCCAATTAGAATTCTGTCTGTATTTCTTCAGGGAAATCAGAGGGATATACCTTCATTGTGTACATGCTTTTTTAGATTTTTGATATATAAATACTTAGCCTGTTTTGTGACCAAGCATAATGATAATATGTAATTTTTTTAAGCATTTTTTTTATTCAGTGTAGTTGGTAAACAAGAAGGAGAAAATTTCACCTCTGATTCTATATATAAAAAAAAAAAACATGACTGGTGTATGTTAAAGAATGAAATGATGCAAAACATTCATAGAAGTTTGTAGAAATCTAAAAACAAGACACATAAAGCATGGTAGGATTCTCATCTAAATGTAGATTTCTTTATCTTTCCTGGTGAATCAATGGGATTAGTTTATTTGGTAGATGGAACGTGGAAGTTTCTCCTAATGCCGCGGCGGAGAATGATGTCTGTGATGAACCATTAGTAACCGACCAACTACCCCTCGATGTGTTCAACAACTACTTCAGTCTCGGGGCCGACGCCCACGTCGCTCTAGAATTCCACGAAAGCAGAGGTAGAGGAACATCAGAGTACATTTAAATGATCGACAATGAATGTCTGTATTTATAAAAAAAAAAAGGGTCGTAAAATTAAAACAGAGGAAAAAATCTCATGAGTTGTTAATCAATTGAATTACAGAGTTTAATAAGTAGATTGATGACTGCAAGGTCATGAAGCAAAAAGTTAATAAATTACAAATAAATCTTTAAAATGCTTTCTTAAGAGACTGTCAATTTAAACTAACTTCATTTTTTTAACATTGAAGTAGATGTACATAATTTTCCATAGTTTACATTGATTGATTGAAGTTACAATCCAGTATTTACTTATTTTGCAGAGGCCAATCCAGAAAAGTTTAACAGCAGGTTTTGGAACAAAATGTTCTATGCAGGTGTAAGTATCAAACTTAATTAAATAATTTTCAACACTTTTAAAAATACACATTTTTTTTTCTTTCAAAATATACATTAAAAAGAGAGCTCCGGATTGAAACTTACGTATGTATTTTAACTCAGCTTTACCTATCATTGCTTGCCATTTTAGGCTGGTGGACGTGACATGCTCAGGAGAAGTTGGAAGGGCCTGGCCGACCATATACAGCTTATAGTAAGTCTATCTACTCTCCAAAAGGACACTCTATCTTTTTTTCTTCAGAGTCTGGAATTCTTTATTTTTCCTTCTAAAGTCAAGGACACATACATAGTTGCTGGAGGCATTCACTTTGCCCAGTGATGTACAAAACTAAGACTGAAACATATAGAGGCATGGAAGGACTGCCCTAGTAAATACATGTTTGATTCTTCTTCATAATAAAAAAAAAAATTTCATTTAAAAAATTTTAGTTTAGATAAAGATTAATTTTTAAATCAGCATGTATTTCCTAGACTGGCTTTCTATTAATGCCCAGATCGTTTGTGATGGTGATACTCAGATCTGAGGGCAAAACATGGCACTATTAACTCAAGGGTTTCCTCAAAATTATGAAATTTCTTCAGAGTGAGATAAAAGTAAAAATATTTGGTATATTTTGTTATTCTATGTAGAAAAGAACTATACTAAAACATCTTACTGAATATGCATATACATGTATTCAAGACATATAATAGTTTGTATATCAGTACTATTAAAGGTAATTTGATTTTATAAATGCAATATGTCAATGAAGAGGCTGTCTGCTGAAAGAGAAATAACTCTGTAATTGTTTTCTAATTATCTGCCAAATTCCCCCCCAAAATTTTTATCTTTATTACATATTAATGCCCTGTTCACACGGAGACTTTAATTCGAATTAAACGTAAGTTTACTGCGAATTAGCTTGCCCTCAACAAATTTAATGCGAATTAGTTTACTTCGCATTTTTTAATGCGCAATTACTTCGATTAAAATATATATTGTGAACGCTAAGCGAAGCTAAAAAAATTGAAATTAAATTTCTTTACCCTTTAGGGGCATGCGTTGCAATGGCAAAATTAAGTCAAATGCGTCATGTCGGTTCCAAGGTAATTTAACAAATTAATAGTTTGAAAAAAATATTTTGTTTTGCTTTTTTTGGAATATTATATAAACCAATAAAAAATGTTGATCATATAATATACTTAAGATACAAATGACATTAAACTTGACTTTCTCTCATTATTCAATCTTTCATGAATATATGACATTATGTCAAATGTTTCATCTGCTTCTGCATAAGGTGACGTGATTTGCAAATGACGTCATAATAGCCTTCCTTATACTGCTGACTTCGTTAAAAATTCGCATTAGTTTACTTTAAAGCATTAGCTGTTTTGTGATACGCAATTTAATTCGCATTATTTTGATTCGCATTATTTTACTTATATTATGTTTACTAGTTGCCAAATTTCAACAAATAATATATGATGATGTATGACTCTCTTTGAGACACATAGCAAATTTGATAGACATACATCTTGTTTACAACAATGTACAGGTTTTTAATGCCATCTTTTGAAAAATGAAAATATATATATTTTAAACTTTGTTTTATTTTCAAACAGATAAAAAAATTGATTAATCTAAAACAAAATTAACCAAATTTCTTTGACTCTTTAGCACTAGCTTTATATGCAATTTTCTTAAAAATGTTGTATTGTTGTTCAAATTTGTTGCAATTTGATGGTCAATTTTTTTTGCAAAAAATTCAAAAGGTTTATTAAAAGTCCAAGAAATCCACTACATTGAATTTCTTCACTGTTTATTTTCGGGATTTAATGTTTTTTCACATTAACAATTTTCGCAAGGTCTTTGAATTTGACTTGTTTTTATTTCCACAAAAAAACACCTTTCACATAACAAGTTTGAAAAAAAAATACTAAAAACAATCAGAAATTTGCTAAAAAATTTACGGACATGTATTTTACTTTAAAGAGATTAAAAAATCATCTAAATGAAAAGAATATTATTATTTATTGAACAGCCCTCGTAAATTATTACCTTCTGATAAAACTAAAAAGAATTTTACTCATATGTAAATGAGAATTTTTATGATCTATTATTAGTCTAAGTTTAAATGGGTATTTACTTGTATAAAGGTTTGTTCCCAACTATATACACCCTGCTGGACATAATTTTTTTTTTTTTTAATTTCAATTTTCTTTACACCAATGTTGTACAGGTATGCTAGTGGGACGTTACCCTGGGGGAATCCTAACACACCAGGATTTGAACCCCAACGCCATGACGACGGTTACCTAGAGGTCATAGGGTTCACGTACTCCTCCTTGGTGAGATTCTGTCTTAATATAATTACACTGAAATCCACAAGTCTTATTCCTCCCTATGCTTGTAGAAGAAGATTCTTTTTACCAACTTTATTTTAAAAAATCATAATACAAATTTTCTTTTAAGTTTCATTTATCAGAGACGTACAAAACTTTGATGTTTGACAGACTGTTCATTTTTCTGTAGAAAGGATTGTATTTTCTGAGAGAGAATAAAAATCAATTTTCTCTTTTAAAAGTTTCATAATTCACATGCTTTGTAATCTCTTATGCTGGATAACAGTGTATTAATTAAAGCATTTTCACTTTCGTTTTAGGCCACCTTGTATATGGGAGGGCATGGAGAGAGGTTAATACAGTGCAGGGAAATCAAGCTAATAACTCTCAAGGCAATTCCGATGCAGGTGGATGGTGAGCCGTGCAGGTTACGGCCCTCGACCATTGTCATCCGAGCGCGGAATCAGGCCAACATGATCGCCAAACCAAAGAGGCGGGGCTCAGTACCCATAGCCAATGAGTAAGTGTTTAGTAAACACTGCAGCTAATGAGCAAGAGTTTTAGTAAATATTGCAGCCAATGAGTGAATGTTAAAGTAAATATTGCAGCCAATGAGTGAATGTTAAAGTAAATACTGCAGCCAATGAGTGAATGTTAAAGTAAAAAGCACAGCCAATGAGTGAGTGTTTTAAGAAAAAATTGCAAAAATTGTAAAATTTACAAATTAAATTCCATACATGCTAAGATTAAAAACTATTATAAATCTGTTAATTTGGAAGTTCATTTAAAGAACACATGATAAATCATATAGGAACAGAATTTAGATAAAGTGAACAAAACATTTGAGAATATTTTCTATTTTAAGTCTGGCTCTGTTGAAGACGGAGTTGAGGTATATTTATTTCCAATACCAATAATTCTCTGTTGTAGACTTTCTTTCTAGTCTTCGTCATTTCCTTTTTTTTATAGAATTTTTTATTTTATTATGATATAGTTATCAATGTGTTTTGAATGTAATTTTGTAAGTCATCAAAAAGTTGTCTTGAGTACCGGGGGTATTTGAAAATTCAAGTCCTGGCTGGGCTGACAAAATTGATACATTGTAAACTATTGACTAGACTTTGTTTACCAAAAGCTGAGATTTTGTTGTCGCTTTTAAATAACTTTTTTTCAAGTCTCATTTTAGTCAGATGTACAAATCAAACAGTTTTTCTTCTTTATATTTGGAACCAATAATTTAAATGTAAAATGTATTTATGAAACTATAATGTGTTACAGTTTATGTGTCCAGAGATTTACCTCTTAGGCTAATGATGTATGATTACATATTCCCTATACTCTTTCTATCTGATATAGCTTATATCTGCCATTATCCACTCCCTTGAATTTGTATAGATCCTAAAGTCAGTTTATATTTAAAGCAAAGATAGTCACCTTCATTGTAGATATTTCAAGTATTTAATATAGTCTTTATTTAAACAAATAAGCTGCAATTTTTGAAAAAAGGCAATATACTGGATATATTGGCCATGTTTTCTTTAAGATTAATGTATTTTGATTGCCCTTTTTGAGAATGTCTAAGAAAAAATAAGAGTGGGTATAAGAGTAATGTCCCTTTGATTGTTGAAATCAGTCTTGAACTCCTAAGAGTTACATCCCCTTGATAATTGATTCAACCATGAACTCAGTTTTGAAGTATTGAGTGTATATTCAGTCCATCTATAGTCCCATTCTGGCTTTTTTCAGCCCCCCGTCCATGCCTGAACGACTTCGAATACAGGTCAGCCGTATCAGTATGGCCGACTATGAGCATCTGAATTATGACAAGGATCGCCTCCGAGGAGCATGTAAGTCATTGTTTATTGTGGTGGTGGATCACTGCTTTTCCACTATTTCAGAGGTGGATGTAGTGAACTAGTGATAACATTTTGTACCAAGCATGTATTGATTTGAGCCAAAGCATGTGAATATTTACCTCTCAACACAAATGTCAGCATTTTTGATTCATTTTTTTTAGGCCTGCTTTCATGTCATTTTATATCATCAGTGTCAAAATACAAGGAATTACAGTTAATGCATGGATTGAAATAAAGGAATTTGTTAATGTCATCAGTTTGAATTGATAAGAATCACATCATGCATGCAACATGCGACATATCATCATAATTTACCCAACAGGAAAAGGAGAGAATATTTAAAATATTACTGTATACATTTATTTTCACCCTGTGTTATTTTTGCCATTTTAACTGCACACTTTCAAACAATTTTACAATTTTATCCCAATTTAAATTTGCCCATTTGCAGTTCTGTTAAAGAAATTACACTGTGTCTTTTGAATTCTTTTCTTTTTAAATCCCCTCTACTAAGAGTAAGGCAAAAGGGGGTGTCAATAAAATAGGGTGGAATTTTTCTGTATACAATATCAGCATCCTCATGCTTATAACAAATTTTATGCATAAAATGGCATTATTTAATCAATTAATTAACTGTGATCTTGTTTATATATCAAAATAAAGTAGACACTTTGTGCTTTCATTTTCTATAATAAAATTTTGTTTTGAGAATCCAGATAAGTTAGAAAACAAGTTTGCAAATTGCAATGTTCTTGAAATTTGCAGCAGGTTTTGACTACCTGTTGCAAAGAATTAAAATAAACAGCCCACGTATCAAAAAATAACACATGTTTTTCCTTCAGAAACAATTTCATTATTTTTCATATTTTGGATCAGAGGTTGTGCTCTATATGAATTATTGAAAAAAAGCTTCAACTTGAGGTCATTTTCAAAGGAATTTACAGGATATGAGGAAAATGCTTTTATATCATAATGCATTGACAATGGGGATTTCACGATTTTGATTGGTCAAATTCCAAGTGATGAATACTGCATTTGCAACCTAAACTGATCGGTTTTGATTTTTCAGAAATTATCAGGGCCAAATAAGGCCTAAAGTGGCTCTTTCTCTTTGTGATACATTATTTAATCTTGAAATGTGATGTTGTGTATTTCAGCTGTGCCTCTAGGGCTGATAGTGGTAGACAATAATGCAGACCTAGATCAAGTTAGACAGATCATCAACAAATTACAGCAGGTTTGTCATTTGTGTGCCAGCTTAATCAAATTGGTATCAATACATCACACTGTATATTCCTGGTGTAAAATTATAATTTTTCTTTTGTAGGGAAACAACGAACTCAACTCTTCTTCACAACCTTTGTCTTCAAAATGGTGCTTCTTAGATTGTGAGTACGCTGTGTATATCATTATATCAAGGATTTCAGAGTTTTTATTAAATTAATTAAAGTATGCATAAATAGATTAGAAAAAGTTAAATATAGCACAGCCTTTTTTTATTTTGACATTATATGTAATATTTATTGTGTGATAATTCTGATCCAAGCATAAAAAAGAAAAAAACAACAGTGTTGACAAGAAAGATAAAAAAAAAAACATGTTTCTCAGTTTTTTTCCCTAAGTAATAGGAAGACATTAAATAGGGATCATTTTACATAGAATTAGTGAACCTTGAGCTTTGTTTCTTATTTCTAGCTACAACGGCTGAGAGATTTTTTCGAATTGACCGGGCCCAGGAACAGTTACACTACATCACAGACATCTCCTCTGAGGACCTTTATATACTAGATCCTGACATGGCCAGCACTCAACATTCCACAGGGAACGGGGAGGTGACCAAACCCCAGGAAGATAAAGGCCTAGTCTTCACCTTCTCAATGCCAGTCACCCCACCCAAGTCCCCAGGGTAAGAGTTAAAAATCACATCAGTCACCACACACAAGTCCCCAGGGTAAGGATAAAAAATCACATCAGTCACCCCACCCAAGTCCCCAGGGTAAGAAAATCACACCAGACACCCCACCCAAGTCCCCAGGGTAAGAGATAAAATCACATCAGTCACCCCACCCAAGTCCCCAGGCTAAGAGATAAAATTACACTAGGGCACTGCAAAGCCGAGTGTCCACTGCACATTGATCCTGATACAAATTCTGTTACTTCTGTTGTGCACAATAAGGCAAACTAACAGACACCCCCCCCCCCCTGACAAAAGCATGTTACTATATCCCCCCAACTTCATTGTGAGGTAAATAACAGAAAGTGGACTTTTTTAACAATTGTTCATTTTTTATTACAGCATTTCAGAGGCTGGACATAATAATAATGAGGAAAAGCATACTCTACCTGTGCCAAAGTCCCCGGGGGAAAACAGGTAAGCTCTCTGATATTATACACAGGTACTATTTGATGCATGATTTAAAGTTGTAGATTTCCATTTATAAGACTTACATACACATATTTCTTTTTTTCAAATTTCTTGAATTAAATATCTAAATTAGTGCAATGAGAATGGTCTGACTTGATATTGTATATAAAGTTTGCATTTAAAATAACTGTTATGTTAATGCAACACCATATTATTTTATTTTATATATGTATTTAATATTATAAGAATGTTTCATTGTTAATTTAATAGCCTTATAATTTTCTTTTATAAAATGTGCTTTTATAATTTCTTTTAGGTTATAACCTATAGAACTATTTTGTACCTGGATGTTGTAATAACACCATTTTTGGTTGACACAATCAGCGATATTGTTGTTCTATAAACATTTATATTTTTAGTTTTTTGCGTGGTTTCTTTTAACACAGGGCCACACTTCCTCGACCCGAGAGTAAGGAAAATTTACTCACCCCGCCCTCCCCTGGCTCAGATAACAGGTGCATATGGCATGTGGGGTGATGCATCCCTGATTTTATTTGGTTTATTTTTTTTTTTTTTGCACCTGTGTATTTTAATCCTATTGTGTGGATTTCTCCTATTAGTTCTTGCTGTTCTCATTTAAAGTTTTTCCTTAGAATATGTGTTTATAATGCCCTTGGCTGATATACAGAAACATGAAGGCAAAAATATTCCAGACAGAATATTCTAATATGCAAATTAAAACACAATTTTTTTTCCTTTAATTTTTTTTTTTCAAAAACTTTTGAAATTAGTATCTGAAAACTATAATGTTAATAATACTTGGAGAACCAACACGATTGACTTGATAAGATTTATTGTACTCTTCTTTATCATTCTTACTGTATCAAATTTTTTTTTTTACAAATAAGTGTTCTTTTTTTGAGAGCCACACAATAGTATATGTAAAGCATGGGCTTACTGAATGCTTGTTTATGTAACCCACTAAAACCCTTGCTTGCATGACCATAACCAATTAATTAATTACATGAAAACAAAACTTGTTTTCCTTTTTACATGTAGATTGCATGATGTTGCATGTTGCAAATATTTACCAGTATTTACGAATGGAACCTGACTTTTTCAGTTGAATTTTATACAGTCCAACTGCATTTGTTTTTCCCTTTTATTTATATTCACTGATAAGATTAATCCCTGAAATGAAAGCTTCATATAGGTGTCCATTTTTCAATGTAGGCAAGGACAGCAATGAATTGTTTGCTTTTAGTCTTAATATCAGTACCTTGATAAACTTGCAGCCCTGAGCTAACAATTTGTAGCATTATTTTTTAAATGCATTTTAATTTACTTAAAAAATATTATAGAAAGGCCTTGATTTTTATAAATAAAAAAATTACAGTTATATTTTAATGGTTAACATGCTTATTTTATAATATAACATTTTTTTCTACAACCTATTTATTGTCAGCATTACATGTACCCATTTTTCACATGCCATACCCATACATTTGCAAGAAAATATTTTTTGAGATTGAATGATATTTATAAATTTTTTACCTTTTACCCTAGCTGTTATATATATATTTCCTTTCAGCTTTCATGGTATATATGCCACAATAGGATTTTTATCCTCTCACTACAGATGTTTGCTCTGCCCTTCATTCACTTGATCAGCGTAATCACTGTTGTGTATTTTTATTATTCCAGTCATATGCCCCTTTGCAGAGCAAGCCCTCATAAGGGCACATGGGTCTGTGTTCGGGTCGCAGACCGCAGCTTTCTACGTCACTCACTGGGGTAAAATTTCATCGCTATGTATTGCTACATTGTAATGCCTAGCATGTCTATAGTACACATGCATTTTCCATATCTGTCCAATTTTTTTGTCAAATGTTTCTAAAAGAAATCTGTGAAAACTTCAGTTTATAGTCATAGAGAAGATAGGAGTTCAAGCATTCTGAGCTTTTAAGTGTGTATATAAATTCTAAAAGCTGCATGAAAATCATGCATAGATAATTTTAGCATTTTCAATTTATATACATTGGAGATATATGCTATGAATAAAAAGATATATTAACTCATGTCCTTTTTTGTTTAAATTAATGTTTTCATTTTTTTTTCTGTGAATGCTAGTAAAAATAATGCATTTTTAGGGTCTTTCTCAGCTTAATGCTACTTAATATACATATCTTTTTAGGATTTAGTGGGGTTTTATGGCCATTTTTAAATTTCAAAAGTCTGACATTAAAAATAAAACATTTATGGAAAAACAATTATTTTACTATAATAGGAATTAATTTTATATGTACAATAAATAGTAGAAATTGAAACTGATCAGTTAAGATTTTTAAAAGGTGAAAAAATATTAATTAACAATAATAGGATAACTTCTGTATCATCATTTTTAAAAGTCTTACTTTTATACTGCTCTGTGCTGCCTTTAAGATGATCTATCAATTCTAAGGCATATATTTTAATAGTCTTTTATTCCATATTTCCATAGACAGACTTATTAACTAGCTTGTGGAATTTAGAAATCATTTGACCTCTTTAGTATGATCATATGCATTATTTCATGGATATACTGTAGATTCATTTTTCATGAATCATACGTCTTAATTTCTGCACACTGTTGAAGCACATTGCTAATTTTTTTTTCAATATCTACCCTGTAAGAACTTTACAGGCTTGTAATATTGCAATGAAGATTAAAGCTATCTTGAATAGAAATGGTGTTTGGTAATACATATAAAAGTTCTCCATGCTTCAAAACCCCATTTTCTCCAAACCCCACCCATCTAAGACACCCCTTCCCAACTCACATGCACATTTCATGCTCCATACTAAGACTGTATCTAAGTGCTTAAGAAGGAGCATCATCTAATTTACTCATATCACTTTAAAACTTGTATGAGGGTCGATTTATTTGCAAAGAAAAGGCTTTCCTAGAGCTATGAAGACTAAAATGTCTAGAAAATATATATTTTTTAAAGTTACATAAACAATACTTTATCAATAGCAATGATGAAAATTTGTTTAAACTTTATGAATTGATTTTGTAAATGGAGAAAAGACAGAGATTATTTAGAATAGCTAGTTCCAGTAGATTTTGCATGTGCCCATTATATGTTATGTTTAGACATTAATATTTGCTTGATTGCATTTAGATATTAGAGAGATACTTTTAGCTGTATGTAGTGTGTTTAACAAACTGTAGCAACATGTATATAAAAATATATTGGGTGTAATTGCTGAGTAAATGTAAATTGTGTTGTTAGATGTTAAAAAAATTGTAATACATGTATTATATTGTACTCTCATTTTGTATCCTAATTGGTAAAAACTAAACTATTCTCTGTGGATTAATATTTCAATGAAGTGTCATTCCAACCCCTCCTATAATTTTGTTAAAACCATGTACAATAAATATTTTTGGTAGACTAAATAATAATTTTCTGTCACCTTAAAAGATATATTTTAAAATGATTTTAGTGGTCATCTATTTCGTAGCAATATAAAAGAAAAACCTCAAGAATTAATAATTTTTTGTTAGATAATTTTGATTTTTATTCAAATTAAAATAAAAGTTTTCTGTTTGATTCCCAAATGCCACTGCATGGTTAATTTATAAACGTCTAGAATTAGACTGTATTTTCTGAAATATTACAGTAAAAATTTGGTATCTCTAATATTTACATCTCTAACAAATTGATTTGGAAGTTCCAACCTCAAATTCTTAAAAAAGTATTCTACCCTCTATATTTCTTGGTCCCATAAAGCTTAGGAAAACGAGGTTTTGACTGTGTTTATTAATTTTTTAAAGATAGAATGTGGGTTTGGCAAAATTAAGAAAAACTAGAAACAAAATAAAGACTTGTTGTATCTGTGTTGTTTTAGCTCTGAGCCAGGCTCGCCAAACTCTCCCAATGACTACAGTTCCAAGCAGTACCAGTTTATGTCAGTGGCCAATGCAACAGCAGCAGGAAAGGCAAAGAAACTCACAGTTGCTGACAAAGGTATACAGATATCATTCTAAAACTCAAAGTAGCTGACAAAGATAGCTAATACAGATATCATTCTAAAACTAAGAGTAGCTAACAAAGAGGGTATTTATACATATATCATTCTAAAACTGACAGTAGCTGACAAAAGTATCTAATACAGATATCATTCTAAAACTCACAGTAGCTGACAAAGGTATCTATACAGATATTTCATTCTAAAACTCACAGTAGCTGACAAAGGTATCTATACAGATATTTCATTCTAAACCTCAAAGTAGCTGACAAAGATATACATATATCATTCTATAACTCACAGTAGCTGACAAAGGTAGCTATACAGATATCTCATTCTAAAACTCACAGTAGCTGACAAAGGTATCTTATACAGATATTATTCTAAAACTAAGAGTAGCTGACAAAGGTACCTAACACAGATATTACCCTAAAACTCATAGTAGCTGACAATGGTATTTATACAGATATCATTCTAGAACTCAGAATAGCTAACAAATGTACTTAATATACAGATATCATTCTAAAACTAAGAGTAGCTGACAAAGGTATTTATACAGATACCATTCTATAACTCCAGTAGCTGACAAAGATATACATATATCATTCTATAACTCACAGTAGCTGACAAAGATATCTAATACAGATATTATTCTAAAACTCAAAGTAGCAGACAAAGATATACAGATATCATTCTAAAACTAAGAGTAGCTGACAAAGGTATCTAATACAGATATCACTCTAACACTATGAGTAGCTGACAAATATATCTACACAGATATCATTCTAAAACTCACAGTAACTGACAAAGATATTTATAAAGATGTTATTCTAAAACACGCAGTAGCTTTCAAAGATATCTAAACAGTAGCTGACAAAGGTATCTAAACAGATATCATTGTAAAACTGACATTAGCTATTCTGATATCATTCTAAAACTTGTAGTAATTGACAAAGATATCTACACAGGTATTATTCTAAAACTGCCAGTAGCTGACAAAGGTATCTGTACAAATATCATTCTAATACTCAGAGTAGCCGACAAAGATATCTAAACAATTAACATTCACAATAGCTTACAAAAGTTTCTAAATAGTTATCATTGTAAAAGTGACATTAGCTTTTCTGATATCATTCTAAAACTCCCAGTAGCCAGCTATTCAGGATAAAATATCTATAAAGATATCATTCTAAAACTCACAGTAGCTGACAAAGATTTCCTAAACTCACAATGGCTGACAACGATATCTGTAAAGATATTATTTTAAATCTTACTGTGTCAAACAAAATATCCACTCAGATATCATTTATAAACTTACAGTGGCTGATATACAGATATCATTCTAAAACTTGCATTAGCTTAGAAAGGTAAATGATAAAATCACTAAAATATAACCAACTTTTAATAGTTACTATATAAATATTTTATCTTGTTAAATGAAGTTAAGATGCTGGTAACATTTAACACAAACAGAAGAGTAAATCGAACACTTGCAAGTAAAGGAGACTTTAAAATTCAGTCACAATTTTTAAACAGCTGATGAAGATCAGTTAACACATGCTGAAATCTCTCTTGATAAAAGTAAGTATGGAATGTACACAAAACTTATTGAATTCTGCACAACATTACTAACTCTTACGCTAACTCAAATGAAACTTATACAAACCCAAGGTATCCCAACACATACTGAACACACAAACTGGCACTTGCTGTTGAAAGTATTTTAATAAAAGTAATCAAACTTGATCTTTCATTATGGGGTTTTCTTGTATCATAGAATGCTGATTTATTACTAATATTTTTGATGAAATTCTGCACAAATGTATATTTTTCAAAAGAGCCACTTTCACATGTTTATTTGAGTGTTTACTTTTTTATGCACATAAGTGTATCATGTAAAGGTACATGCATAAAAAGAAAATATATTTTTTAACAAACTTCTCTTTTCATTTTGGGAATTTTGATAGATGTAATGACTCAGAGTGATGGAAAGAATGTGAACACTAAATGACCAGTTACATGTACAAAAACTTTTTTTAACATTAAACTTCTCTTTTTTTTGTTTTAGGATTGATAGATGCTTCAAAGAGAGGTGATTTAACAAAGGTGGGTAAATTACGATATTTATGGGTAAACAGGTATCATTTTGTATTATTTGTCACAGTTGATTGATTATATACTGATTATTTTCACAGTTCACTGATTTTTATAATTGTTCTTCACAGTTGGTTGACTTGTTCTGTAATCAGGATGCGGACCTTCTAGCGACTGACCAATATGGCATGACCTCACTGCACCATGCTGCACGGTTTGGACATAAGGGCATTGTCAAATATCTCATAGATAATGGTAAGACACTTAATTTTAATTAATAATAGAAAGATACCTCATTGATAACAATAATAAGGAAACGTAAAAAAGAGCTAAAACATTAAAGAAAATATCTCAGTGATATATTTATCTTTACAGCTCCCCCTGTCATTTTGGATATGGTGGACTATGAGAAGTAAGTGAGGGAATCAATGTTATATATGACTGAATTTTTCACTTTTGAATAGCAGTAGACAGAATAATAGATTCAGATTGCTTTCATTTAAAAATATCATAACTGTATTCTTGCTGAACCTTATGCAATATAGATTGATAAGAAAGTAAATTCTATCAACTGAATTCAAACTGAATTGTACCTATTGCATTGTTCCCAAAAAAGGATATACTGAATCCCTTTCCTTCTGAGTGATTTTATACAATGGTTTGCTTGACTTTCAACGTCTTGGATGATTTTGTCATTGAATTCCAGAGGACAGACAGCATTACACAAGGCAGCGTGGTACCAGAGACGGACGATCTGTTACATGTTAGTGGAGGCCGGCGCCTCCCTCACACGTACTGACTACCAGGGGAACACGCCGCGGCTACAGGCACTGAAGGCCGATGACAAAGAGCTGGCCGCTTATCTAGAAAGTAGGTCACCCTCTCAAAGGAGTCATGTCATTCATTCTATTTCATCTAAATTTTGTATAGACTTTGATGTACCATTATGATCTGATTTTAAATCTTGTTCAAAACTTCTCTGTAAATGGGCCAGAGTACAAATTAGTTGTAGGTTAGATATTTTTACAAGTGATTCATTTCTTGTTAATTTATCTGTTGGCAGACAAAAGCATGACTTAGTAGGTAAAGTTCTTAGCTCCAGTATCATATCTACTACAGGCTGATCTAGAACATTACTATACAGACACTACACTGCTAATTTATACGTAGAGAACCGCCCCCAAAATGTAGTGCTAGATGTAGATAGACTGAATGTATAAAATCAATTCTCCTTTGCTATCATGGTGAAGAAATGCAGAAAAAAAATCGAAAAATTAGCAACATACAGAAATCCTCATTCCAAATCGATTTCAATACCATTATCTATTTTCAATTTCATTTTGCTCTGACAAATTACATAACTATGTATAGCTGATGTCAATCATTAAGCTCGAGCCTTATTATTGAAGACAGTTAGAAAATATGTAAATTAAGTGCTATTATTATATTTTATTTTATTCAAGTCAAGAGGAAGAAATGAAAAAAATAAATTAAATTCTCTCGTCCTTTTTTTGTAGGTCAGGAGCATTTTCAACTGGTTGTGTCAGAGGATCAAGAAACAGCTGTTTGACTGGTTCCCCAGAAAAACAGCAGTTTGACTGGTCCCCGAGTTCCATTAAAGGCCAATACATGTGATAAAAAACCCTGAACTTGGCCCTACATTGTGATATTTCTGACAACTTTCCACTTTTTCGTGTTTTCTCCCAGTTTTGTGATGCAGTGAATGGTGTGAGTCATGAGTGGGTACTTTATAAAAAAGTGTGAGATAATTTTTTCTACTTTTTTTCCTAATATCTTTGTCTAGGATTATTTTTGTCTTTGGATTTGATTGGTTCTCACAATTATCTGTGATATATAGGCTGTTTCAAATTTATTCACAGTTTGTGTATTCAAAATTGGATATTTGATTTCAAATTTGCAAATGATTGCTTGAATTTGAAGTTATATCACAAGGACATTTGTTGATACAAGTTATTAGCAAGTAAACACTTTCTCCAGACTTTTCCTTTTTGGATGTTTATTCAGTATGTTTATAATATATACCATTTGTACATGTAAATATGTACAGATGTAATAAATTTCTGACGTATTCTCGCTGAGAAACTTATTGTATATTTCTTTTGCTACACATATCTTTTACATAGGTACAGATGAATTGATTTCATGTGTATTCGAGACCAAATTTGTTTTGCAGTAAAGCAGTTAGTGTATTGAATTACAATTGATCAGCAAGCTGGGTTTACTTGCTCCTCAAGCAGTGCTTGAATATGTCTTTTTTTGTGATCATTTTTATCAACCATATCATGATTCTCTGTACAGATATATTTTACTACCTACATTGTGGAAGAAAATGATGTCCATATATCTTGTTATGTTTGTTGTTATAACACAAATTGTTATTGCTTAATCCGAAAACCACACAGAAAATCTTCCATTTTTTTCACTTGAAATAAAAAAAAAATTTGCTTATTCTCGCACATTTTTGCATAGCCATGCATAATTTATAAAGAATATTGTAAACATTTGTATTTATTTATAGTAGTCTTAAAATTTGTTTTATTGTAGTGATTTTAATTTGAAATTGAAAAGGATTTGTTTATAAATTTCTATAGCTCTATTATCTTTTTTTTTTTTTTGGTATATTCTATATTTCTTGTAGTAACAAGTTTTGTAGTAGATTTTTTTAATTTGTTTTATTTTCTATTATTTATGCAAATAGTTTGTGTTGGAGACGGTCCCATTCCAAAGCAAACTATGGCAATATCACAGCATTATTTATTATATTAATTAGATTTCTTTAACATTCCCTATGCAAAAGTTGAGCTTATTGGACTAATAACCCGTGTTTAACTATTCTCCAATACTCTTACTGGTATTTATTTGATATACATATATATATGGTAATGTAGACATTAATTGTTTATCAACTTTTAAAAGAAAATTGCATCAAAGAAACATTTTTCAACCCATGTTTTGCAACATTTGCAGAAAAAAGAAAGATGAAGTTTTATTTTCAGAAAAAGTTTCCTTTTTCAGACATGCAGATATTTTGTATTTTAAGGAATGGTAAATTATGATCTTTAACTCTATCTTAATGCTGAAGTTAATTATGTACAATAAGTAGAATTTTACAAAAGGGAAGAAAATCTTATAAAAATAGACTAGGCTTTTTCTGTACATTTTTCATTTATTCCCTGTTTAGAAAGGAAGGAAAAGAAATTGAAAATGTCAACTTGTTGAGATAAACTCTGCAGAGAATATTGGAAGATTTCATCCTTTAGTTTTGTAATTTATTCCTTTTTTGAGAAGTTGTAGAAATACAATTTTTTTTTTACTTTACATTAAGTCTGCAAATAAATACTGTAAAAAGAATCCCTTAAAACTGTTCTATTTATTGCTCAGCAAAGTCACTCACGTGATTTACTGTTATGCCTCAAATGTTGAACAGTTTTTGCTTTTTCTCATGAACTGTTCAGCCAATTTTAGCCAATTCTATTGGGAAAGAGGACAAAAATTTAATTTTCATGGTTTTTGCCTCACTGTGGTGGAATATATACCTCTACCAATTTTTCACTATATAAGTCATTAGAGTAAATTGATGTATTTTGTTGATTCCCCGAGAATCACCGTAAAACACTGATTCCTTACAAAAAGGAGTGTTGGTTTAATTTGATGAACTGATATATACCCATTTGGAAGACCTAGTAATTTATTTCGCTTACCGATACGTCGTAATTTATAGACCATTATTTTAAATTGGAAGATCTTTTACTGAATTTATTTCATCCCCTTTAATGTTCTGCGCAATTAATATTTCCATTGCACACCTTATTACTGCAATGCGTATAAAATAAGAGTTACAGGTTTTGAAAATGGTCTAATTTTATTACCAGTGTACTAAGAGACTTTGTAAAAAACAGTTAAAATGTATCACTGTGGGGGTTGGCAAGATTCCAGTTTCCCTAGAGCAAGACTATTTCCCTCAGCTGCACTTCAGGAAATATGTTACGTGTACGTTTTGCAATTTAAGAAATTCAAAACTATAACAAATTATCGATAAAAAAAGTCAATTTCTGCTTCTGTTCTTAATGTACTAGGACATCTATGTAGGGTATGATTTTTGCCAGACGTCCTTGAAGCGTCTGTAGTGGTACTGGTATAGTCTCGACATGAGATAGTATTCCAGCTCAATCCTCCTGTCAGTTGAGCTTTTGAACACGCTATAAAGGATACACGAGTTTTACCAGAAGTAGTACCTATATTTTTCAGAGAACCTTACGATAACTGAATTCTATGTGAGGCTGGGAAAAAGATAAATACTTGTAGAGGGCGGTAAGTGCGCTATTGAAGCGACTAAATAATTATTGTTAACAGATATTCGACATTTTGTTAGTAACTGTTCAAATATAAATTTTAATGAACCAATACAAGAGAAGTATTTAAAAATAAAACAAAAAAAAAAACATGCAAAAAAATAGTACTAGTCTGAATGAAACATATTTATAGAAATGGTTGTGATATATGCTTATCAGTTCTTTTCCTTGTGGTTAAAGACACATTGATAATATATTCGAGGTTAGCACTTTTACCAAAGTACTAAATTGAAATGCAGACGGTATTATGTCTTTTCATATTGGTCCAATTTCTCTATATCACTGTTAATGGCCATGGTGGGAAAATACTTGTTAACATATCGACTTGAAGGCGGTGATGGAGAAATTAGAGGAACTCCAAACGACCGTACACCTCCAAAGTGATCGCATTTCTCAGTTAGAGGTGCAGAACCGGAACTTCGAAAAACTTATAGCCATCGATCTCCACAGCAACGAAAACAAGCAAGATGAACGGATTTCTATTCTAGAAAAGCAGTACTTGCGTTTAGATAAAATTTTGTTAAAACATTCGAAGGACATTTTAGCTGAGAAAATATTGAATAGGACCACAAAGAAAACGATTTCCATGTTTCTGAGGAGACAGTATGTCCATGAGAAACTATACAGGGGACTAAAAAATCGAGTGCAAAATGTTATACATTTCCTGAGGGAAAAGTCCTCCTTCCCTAATGCCGTCATCAAACACAAAGACAGTTTGACAAGAAAAGGTAATAGCCTGTCAGCTTCATAAGCTTTTCATATGTTTATCTTATTGCAATATTATGTGCACTTTATTACAATACAATATATGCATTTTAAAAATATTTTTCAGAGCGATTGCTTGCTCCTGTGACAACTTCTTCATCACATGAAAACATTGTTGCTTTCTATGTGTATTTATCAAAGGATATTCCATCTCCCAGCGCACACCATATCCTCATATTTGATTCAATAATCACAAGTGCTGGAAATGCCTACCATCCTCATTATGGAACATTCATAGCGCCTCGATCTGGTCTTTACGTGTTTACATGGACAATAAGAATGGCTGGAGCATCAGATCACACAGTCGAATTGCTGATCAATAACAATTTTGTTGGGTCGACGTATCTAAACTCAGGTAATACTATAGATGGCAGTGTTACTGGTACTGTGGTGGTACACGTTAACCAGGGAGACGATGTGCTTATGAGAACGGGTGGAACATACAACAGTGGTAACATTATAAGTAACCCTGCTGGAAAATCATCGTTTGCAGGGTGGTTATTAGGTTAAAGTCCACTTTGTTAAAACTCTGTTGAATGCTTAATTAAATTGTTCCTTATTTCGAAAATTGTTGTTTAATATTCCTCATTCTGTTGATGATTTCAAGTATCGTGTTTCTTAAACCTAAGCTCCAGATTTAAATCTTCAAGCATGTGCATCGTATTATTACCTGGATAAGATGAGAACTGATTAAAATTGTTCAAATTGTATTTGTATTTAGTTGTATTGTTTTTAGCTCTACTGGTCAGAGACCAGAAGAGCTTATGCGATAGAAATGCGTCTGTCGTCCGTCCGTCTGTCTGTCTGTCTGTCTGTCTGTCTGTAAACAATTTTTCAAAATGCTACTCCTCCTACAGTTTTAGTCCGATTTCAATATACCTTGGCACACAAGTAGACTACACTAAGATACATAATTCTGTGCATCGGTTTTTGCTTTCGACGAACGGTGTTGCCATGGTAACTAAAAAGAAATTTCTGTGAAATTCTTTCAAAATGCTACTCCTCCTACAGTTTTGGTTCGATCTCAACATAACTTGGCACACAAGTAGACTACACTAAGATACATAATCCTATGCATTAGTTTTTGATTTCGATGAACGGTGTTGCCGTGGTTACTAAAAATAGAAATTTCTGTGAAATGCTTTCAAAATGCTACTCCTGAGACTTCCTACAGTTTTGGTCCGATTTCAATATAACTTGGCACACAAGTAGACTACACAAAGGTACATAATTCTGTGCATCGGTTTTTATTTTGATGAGTGGAAAGGATCATTTTTCTATTTATTGCTGTTTTAAAGTTTCAAGTCCCAACTGCTACTTTTTTCTTCCTTTGTTTTAAGTATAAACCAGTAGAGCTACGGTCTTGACAGAGACTTCTGGTTGTTTAAATTTTGACCCCGTTTAAATGGGTCTAAGATAGCAGTCTGTCACAAGTGACATTGTGTCAATGTTTTATATTAGCTTATTGTACAGGTATTGGTAAGAGTTATCTTTATTTGGGCATTAGGAGTTATCGATTATTTCATTTACGCACTATTGGTCACTGGGTTGTATTTGTTCTATTTTTATCAACGTATACTCGTCGAACCCGTTTGAGTAGTTTGGTCAGTTATTTATACTGGGTGTTGGCTAGTGTTTGTCAGATGAGGTCTGGACGCCGTGAGTTATGCTTTACCCATGCTTAGTGATCTTGGGTGTGCCTTTTATATAACCCATGCTGTGTGAACTTGGGTGTGTTTTAGCTGTTTCCCCTGCTGTGTGATATTGGGATTCAGGGATGTTTTTGAGAGCAAGACCTGGGGGCCGACAGTATGGTTTTATGTATAAAATGCCACAGCTCAGTAAGTTTTTACACTTTACAATATTTTTTGTTAGCTTTAAAGAGCAATTTTCTATGTAAAACTGTTAGCAATATAGCGAGAATGTATATATTTACGCTCTAATTCATTTACTTGTTAAACGGCAAATACAAGTTTTCTTTTGTAACTTGTTTGTAAAATCTAGTATTTTGAACAGAGATTTGTTTTGAATATTTTATTAGAAACCCTATGAAAATTGTAGGTGACCAAACTTGTATATTAAGCTTTTGTTCTGGACGGGAGGATTGGTGTATGTGTGAAGCTACTTAGGATATGGTGGACCGGACGGGACACTATGGTGGACAACATGGACAATATGGTGGACCATGGACGTGGTGTGAAGTGTGAATCTGTCTAGTGATGACCTTGATTGAACTTATGGCCGTTTTCATGTTTATTGTACATATGTAGATAAATTTATTGTTAATTTTTATAAATCTTGTTGTTTCTTGGTATACAGGAGGTCTTCCAAAATATTATTTATTTTGGTTTGAAAATTCTAATTGAAAGAATCCATCACAACTTGAGGTCAGTTGTGACACAGTCCATTGGTTTCCGCCAAGATAGCCACCTTTTCTGGTCAAAATTGTCGCCTTTGTGTTTCTGACCAATATGACTGCTATTCCATTTTCGTCCAAAATGACACGCTTTCCGTTTCCAGCCAAAATGACAGTCCCTCCGCCCATAATGGCTTCTATTTCGATTTAAGGATAGATAAGACGTTCCTTGATAATATATAATTTTTTCCAAGAATTTGTCACTGAAGTATTTCTACTTTAATAAGTTTACTCACAAAAATTAAGGTACCTTACCAGGCATTCGTGTAAGATCGCAGACCCTCCGAGGGTAGTGTTTCTTAAATAATCCTTTTAAGTCTTGTATTTTTGAAAGCATTTAGAAACTGGTTTAAAAATTAGAATGTAATCAAAATTTTGAATATTTTTCATACATTTCAAACATGTACAAAACACATATCCGAGGAACGTATCGTCTGACCTTAAGTTCAACAAAGGAGACACCCCTTCTTACCAGGACTTTGGACCTGGCGCCCGACGGCAGATGGGTTTACTTGTCTAATATTAATATATTTTTATTGATTTATTCATCATTTAATTTTATTTGGTTCTCCGATATCATTTAATCACCTAACTATCATAAGCTGCCGTGTCTGCACAACAAAGACGCTCCCTCTCGCCCAGGACTGATTATCGTATCAATGGATTTAAGTACCCACTCAAGACCTGTATCATTTTAGAAATGGGACAAAAGCCCAAGGAAACAGAACCCTAAGAAAAGATAGTGAAAAAACATACTTAATGGGTAGATTCTAACAGCATACACATATCATTACATTTTCATTCCTGTAAATACCTGGTGTACTTTGAGCACCCACTCCGGCTACTTCAGGACACGCGAAACAGGTCTCATCTTGGATGTAACTTCCCACAAACTACCCGAACACGAGCTCTCAGGTAGATAAAATTGCTAACTGAGAGGATCTCAACAGGTTAAAGACCTAAATATATTATTGCAGAATAAGGATATCTTAAGTTCGTTAGAGACTGTTGCTTTTGCATCGGCAATCGTTCGTTTTGCAACGGGGCCTGTTGATTTTGCAGTTAAAAGTGTTGTTCTTTCTCTAAGCTTTTTAGAAGGAATAAATATTAAGTTTGTTAAATTATCATTAACAGATATTTAACATTTTTAGTAAAGCAATGTTAAAGTAGTATTTTAAATGCATGTTCAAAAGGGCTTTCTGACTGAAATACAATGTACATGTAATTTGTAGAAAATGTTATGATATGCTTATCAAATATTTTCCTTGTGGTTAAAGTTACATAGATAACCTAAATAAGGTCAACACTATTAACAGAAAGAACTAAACTTGAAATGCATACGGGATTATTTCTTTTCATATTGATCCAATTTCTCTATCCTACTGTTAATGGTCATGATAGGGAAAGACTTGCTACTAATACAGACTTAAAGGCGGTGATGGAGAAATTAGAGGAACTTCAGACGACCGTACACCTCCAAAGTGATCGTATTTCTCAGTTAGAGAATCAGAACAGAAACTTTGAAAAACTTATAGCCACCGGTCTCCGCAGCAACGAAAACAAGCAAGATGAACGGATTTCCATTCTAGAAAATCAGTACCTGTGTTTAGAGGAAAGTTTGGTGAAGCAATCCAAGGACATTTTAGCTGAGAAAAATCTTAAGGAGACCACTACAAAAAAGATATCCATGTTACTGAATAGACAGAATGTCCAAGAAAAACTATACAGAGGTCTAAAGAATCGACTACAAAATTTGATATACTTCCAGCAAAAAAAGTCATCTTACCCTAAAGCCTTCACACAACATAAAGACAGTTTAATAAGAAAAGGTAAAATTTATGATAATTTATCCTGCAAGCGTCATCTCATATAATTATTTATTGACGAGAATTATATTTTTTCCTGCATTTTTTGCAGTGTGATTGCTTGCTCCCGTGACAACATCTGCATCAAACGGCAACGTTGTTGCTTTCTATGCGTATTTATCGAAGAATGTTCCATCTCCAAGTGCACACCATATCCTCACATTTGATAACCTAATCACGAATGTCGGAAATGCTTATCATTCCCATACAGGTACCTTCATTGCGCCCCGACCTGGTCTATACGTGTTTACGTGGACGATCAGAATGAGTGGAAATTCATACCACAAGACGGAACTGTTGGTCAATAACAATTTCGTTGGGTCAACATATTTTTATCCTAATAATATCGATGGCAGTGTTACTGGTACTGTCGTGGTGCATGTCGACCAGGGAGATGATGTTTTTCTTAGAACTGGTGAAGCAAACAACAATGGTAACATTATAAGTGACATTAACGGAAAATCATCTTTTGCGGGATGGGCTTTGGCATAAAGGCGACAACTTAAAATGAATTGATGAACTTTCTTGTTTTTTTTCTAAAAGAGGACGATAACCACATACACCTGAATGAATTGGTACACAGGGAGAGACCTAGTGATCATGAAGGTTAAGACGACCTGACCGCTGCTGATTTTAAATGTTAATTCATTGTAAATGTAAAATAACAATAATGAACAGCGGAACATCTCATACATTCTTAAGTTCCCGTACAAAAATTTTAGGTGGAATAGGCGCGACTAAGGCACGGAATCCGTACTGAAAATCTTAAAAAATCCTGACTCACAGAAACTCTTATGGAGGCACTTGATTTTACGCAAACAGGTTTTCCATCCAAACTATTTATATCTCACGACTTTTTAGCGAGCATGCTCAATCATAATTTCTTTTATTCAAATATTAAATTGGAGGGATTCATTGTCAAAAGATAAGAATGTGTCCTTTTATTTTACTCCATTTAAAGGATATTTAAATGTCATTTTAAATTGAATTTATGTCAATCTAGGATGATTTCATCACTATGAACTAAATGCAGTAATTCATATAAATAAGTCATTTTCAATTTTCATGATCTTTCTGTATTGCAGTGTTGAGAATGAACATGATGAAATAGTCTTTGTTTGTTTGAATGACTTAAGGACGTACGCAACGTACCTTACCTACTGATAGATTTCCAAGATATTCCAAATTTAAACTTATATTATAATTACATGTTCATAGACAAAAAATCAGCATGCCTTACCAGAGGTTTTGAAAAGATATCGAATTTTGAAAATTTTTGCATTATTCAAATAAAAATGTACAAAAATTATAAAACATAAATTTCAGATTTTTTTTTCTTCAAAAATTGTTTAAGAAGAGGTATACAAATCCATTTATAGACATTAAAAATACTGCACACAGGTCCTTCATTTAGTGGAACTCTTCAACTCCAGGGGAGAACCCAAAAAAGTTCAAACTATGTTGCGTATGACCTTAAGTTGGACTTTCGCTAAGTAATTTCTATACATTTAATAATCATCAATGTGCTCCAGAAAGTTTTATTTAAATTATTAAAATTCCTTTTTAGATATTACCCTTCTCTTACACGAAAAACTTATACTATTTTGAATTTACTTATTTGATAAAATTTTTTGTACGCATCCCTTTACAATTCGGCAATTTCAACTAAATGAAAGGTATGGCAGCCAAATTCACAAAATGAGCCAAACATAGTTTCACAGTCCATAAACTAGGTTTGTACGGACTGTAAACTATAGTTACCAACGTTAATTTATATTTTACATCTGTAAACCATAGTTAACGCGATAATCTGTGTTTCAGAACCATAAACTATACTTAATAATGAAAACAATCATTTGCTATTGTAAAATATAGATTATCTGATAAATACAGTTTCACGATTTGTAAACTATGGTTAACAACTCTTAACTGTAGTTAACGATCTGATAAATACAGTTTCGTAATTTGTGAAACTATGATTAACAACCCTTAACTATAGTTTACGATTGTAAATTACATGTATAGTTAACAGACGTGAATCTATGTTTATCAACAATAACGTTTTATTACAGACACATAAACTTAGATTATAAGCATTCGTAAACTATAGTTAACAACCGTTAAATATAATTTTACAGATGAAAACTATAGTTAACGAATTATAAACTATAGTACACGGTTTGTAAATTAAAGTTTTCAGTCGGTGAAACTATGTTTAGCTCATTTTTGTGAATTTGACGTGCCATAGAAAGGTCATTCTAGCCAATGTTACTTTTATTCAGTCAGCTATTATTCTTAACTCTCTTCTAAAACTATTTTTATTATAGTTTATGCCAAATCCAATTTTCTGTTTATAATTATTAATAACGCTTACTTTATTTGCCATAGAACCTATTCAGAGTTAGTTAGTTTTACTTATGAATTTAGGTAGAAGTAAATTTCTACAAATATTACAAACAATACATTAAATAAAAAGCCCTTTACATCATATATTTTGAGACACACACACACACACACACACACACCCTCACACACACACACGCACACGCGCACACGCACACGCGCACACGCACACACACACACACACACCCTCCCTCACACACACACACACACACACACCCTCACACACCCACCCACCCACACCCACACACACACCCACACCCACACACACACACACACCTTTAGAATTTACGCAATCCACGGAAATCCCCCCCCCCCAAAAAAAATAATGATTCCTATTCAGCTGTAATCTTTTATACTTTGCATTTTAAATTTTGTTTTGGTATTATAAGATTGAAGCTTAATTATAATAATATCAAATAATAATGAAAAAGTACTTATTGTTTTATCTAAATAATTATTGTTAACAGATATTCGACATTTTGTAACTAACGTTGAAACCTAAATTTAATTTTTATGAAGCAGTGTCAGAGAAGTATTAAAAATCAAACAAACTAGATGTACTGTGAGCAATGAGCTCATCAATGATACCCCGCCTGACATATGAATATAATGGCAGTGTCCATGTTTTGATATGGGAAACCTAAAATATTTGTTGGATTAAAAAGTAAAATAGGAAGTCACAATGGCAATATGTAACTAGAAAGTCTGCTATTGCAAGCAATAGCGTATGTCGCCCCGAACTGGACAAGACTTTCATTTTTTTATGACTTAAACAATACCCATTAGCTGAGCTTGGACAACCACCAACTCGTATAAGTCCTTTTGGTTCTTTGATTTAAGAATCAAAGTTAAAGAATTTTTACTTTTCCCCTGTTTCCATGGCAACTATTGACAATTTGCAATTTTTAAATGCAACACGCACAATAACAGATACTAATCATTAAAACAATTAAGTTTCATGAAAAATGTCCAAGGGACCAGAGAGAATATTCTCGGACAAAATTCGTCGCTTTTTGCAGGTTTCCATGGCAACGGTAGCCATTTAGAAACTGAATGACCACACAACACAACTACATCCAGTGATCATCTTTTGAGTAAAGTTTCAGGATTGACCCAGCAATCTCCGAGAAACAGCCCGTAGAACAAAAACATGCGTACAATCGCAATATGTCGTCCCCGACTTCGTTAGGGGCGACATAATAAAGATTCTTTGAAAGTCTCATCAAATTTCATTTAGTGGCGGATAAGACATTGGTACTCCAAAGTGTAGCAGACGGACGGGCATCCCGACTACTATATACCCTCCCGCTTTTTAAGCTGGGGTATAATAAATGCAAGCAAAAAATGAGTACAAGTCTCAATGAAATATTTTTAGAAAAGTTATACGCTTATCAGTTCTTTTCCGTGTGATTAAGACACCTAGATAACGCATTTGAGGTGAGCACTTTTAATAAAGGAGTAGAGTTGAAATGCAGACGGTAATGTTTCTTTTTATATTGATCCAATTCCTCTATTTTCTTGTTAATGGCCATGTTGGGGAAACACTTGGTATCAATACAGACTTGAGGGCGGTGATGGAGAAATTAGAGGAACTCCAGACGACCGTACATCTCCAAAGTGATCGTATTTCTCAGTTAGAGAAGCAGAACCGAAACCAGGAGAAACCTACAGCCACCGATGTCCACAACAGCGACAACAAGCAAGAGGAACGGATTTCCAATCTAGAGAAGCAGTTCTTGCGGTTAGAGAAACGTTTGAATAAACAATCCAAGGACATTTTAACTGTGAAAACGCTTGAGAAGACCACTACGAAAAAGATGTCCGGTTTACTGAGTAGACAAAACGTCCAAGAAAAACTGTTCAAAAATCTTCAGGACCGATTTCAAAATTTGATCCACTCCCAAGAAGAAAAGTCTTTTTTCGCCAAGGCCCTTACGCAGCGCAAAGAAAGTTTGATAAGAAAAGGTATAATTTATCGATAAACTGCCAACGTTACCTCATATTTATATCACTTTAAGAAAATTTCAATTTCTATTTATTTCTTTTTCAGAGCGATTGCTTGCTCCTGTGACAACTACTGCGTCACTCGGCAACATTGTCGCTTTCTACGCGTATTTATCAAAGGATGTTCGTTCTCCCGGTCCGAATCATATCCTTACATTTGATAACGTAATCACCAATACTGGAAATGCATATCATTCCCACGCCGGTACCTTCATAGTCCCCCGATCTGGTCTGTACGTATTGACGTGGACTATCAGAATATATGGAGCAAATTACCACTCAACAGAACTGATGGTTAATAACAATGCTGTTGGATCGACGTATCTTATTCCAGCTAATATTATAGACGGCAGTGTTACCGGTACCGTGGTGGTACATGTTGACCAGGGAGATGACGTTTTGGTAAGAACTCGGGACTCGTATAACGTTGGTAATATTATGAGCGATCTTGTAGGAAGATCCTCTTTTGCAGGATGGTCTTTAGCTTAATACTTCCAAAATAAACATTTTTTTCTTCCGTATCTTTTACCTAATTAAAGATATATTAGTATGGTGTATCCTGATCCTTTAGTTTTACGTAATAAATGTCATTCTCTTTAGAGAATTGGACAAGTTTTCTTCTACCTTCGGCGAAAGCCTTTCCAACTTCTTTAAAAAGAATAAATACATGAAACATACGGAAATTGTAAGCAGTGTTGCTATTTTCTAAGTTCTAAGTCTTGGCTTGTATTGCTTAACACGCTGCTATACCTAGGGCTCAACATCCGTCCTTCAAATTTTATTTTTCCAATAGAAAAAAAGTTATAATGAAAATGCAAACAATTGCATTGTTGAAATTTATGCAATTTCAGTTTTGACATTTTTGAAAGGAATAATGATCATTTATCTCAGTTGAAATTAAAAATGTAAATCACTTTATTCTATACCTGTAAGCAGTGTGGCTGTTTTCTAAGTCCATGGCTTGTATTGCTTAACACGCTGCTAAACCTAGGGCTCAACATCCGTGAATTAAATTGTATATCACTTTATTCGCGAGATCTTTATTTTCGAACTTTAGACAATGTGCCTGAGAAAATATTCTGGAGTATTCATGTATATAAAGATTATATAAGGTGTAATACTTAACGACAGTTTGTGAAAATGTTGACTCACCGAAAGGTAGTCAATGTCTACCTCGCAAAAAAAAGGTTTTACGAAAATTTAGTGATCTACAGTAGTTTATAGAAATTGGCCTTACAACCATGAAAAGTGAAAATAGCGTGGAATCATTTTAATTAATGAGGACACTGTTTGTGTTTAAAAAAATTTTGAATGAGTCGCAGGAAAATTATTTCATGGGCAACATACATGTACGAGATATACATGTAGTTATATACAGCTCTGATTATTCTCTGATAGCCATCTTAACTCAAATATATAAGTATTCCCATGAATAATGATGACGTTTTAACCTCATGCATTTTCGTACATTACACGGTACTTTTTACAGTTATGATAAAGAGAGAAACTGTAATTGGTTTTTGAGTATGGGACATTTAATATGACTTTGCAGAAAGTTCTTTCCTCCTGGCAAAATATCTTAGTGGAATGCCTATTCTTGTGGGTTTTTTTTGTTCCTTTGAAATATTTTCTGGGGTGTGTAAAATTGCTGTTGTCAGATTGGGTAGGGAAATATTTACGTGTCCATTAGGTGTATTTTATAGCTATTTTCAGTTATCGTACTTGTCTTCCACATTAGGAAATCTTCCAGACCTGAAATGGGATACTTAATTGAGTTTGACTAGTGCAACTACCTATAATTCCTGCGAGCCATTAATATTGAGAGGAAAATCTAACTGTAAACGTATTGCCCGTACGGATTCGAAAGGAAACAAGAGGTCCAAGGGCCCAGATAGGTCACCCGAGTATAATGGTACAGCATTCCAACAATTAAATTGGGTTCGTGTTAAAACCAGAAGCCTTGAAATTCACAGTTTAGAAAGTGGCAACATTGCTTATCATAGCTATACACTTCGCATGCTTACTTTGATTACTTAATACCCAGAGGTAGATCAGAGTAACAAAGAGAAAATACATTTCCACTTTATAACCAGCTGTGGATCCCATCCCACAGGAACCACTGATTTGGGAAATTTTATGATAAATTTTACCGGATAGGTAAAAAGTTTAGCGAGACGCGAATGTAGCGATTTGTGCTTAAAAATTAGTATTGTATTTTTGCGAGATGTAATTTTTGAGATTTTAAAACAATCAATACAGAAGCTATCACAAATAAATTGCGATTAACTTTTAGCGTTATACAATTTTAGCAATATTAGCATATATTGCTTATAATGTATTTCATCATAGATGGTTGATTAATACCAAAGAGCAGATTTCAAAGCATTAATTTCTTTTTAGACTATCAGTATCCCTGATCCATGACCGCTGAAATATACCATTTTGCAAGAGGCACATTTCTTCATCATAAATTTGTATTTAGATCATTGGTAATTCATTGGTAATACCAAGGAGCAAAGGATTTTTTTTCCCAAAAATTGCTACATTTTTACTATATACCAGTAATCATTAGAACCTCGCCATAACACCAAAACCCCTAACCCAGGGGCCATGAAATTCACAAATTTAGAAGAAGCTTGCTTCCTCATCATAACTATTTATATGTACATAGTTCATTGGTTTAATACCTAGGAACAGAGAAAAAGGATTTTAAAGAATTTATGCATTTTCACTACATAATCAATAGAGCCTCACTCTAACACCAGAACTATTGATCCTAGGGCCATGAAATGAACAATTTAGGAAGAGGCAACCTTATTTAATTTAACTATGGGTTGATTAGTTTGTTAAATACTCAGAAGCAGAGAAAAAAATTGATGTATTTTCACAATCAATCAATAGAGCCCCGGTCTAACACCAGAACTCTCAGCCCAGGGGCATAAAGGATTATGAAAGGACCATGAAATTCACAATTTTGTTCCCCTTCACCCATAGATGCTTTACAAAAATTGGTTGAAATTGATTAAACGGTTAAGAGAAGATTCTGAGAATTTTCAAATGTTAACGCACAACACACGACGCACAACGCAAAACGCACAACTATGGTCGATAACTGATACATGTAGCAATAGATCACCTGCGTTTACTAAGGTTTCTTAGATATCTTAGAAAAGGCGGACAAGGACAAATTTCCAATGCCTAAATGATTATCCTTAATAGATACATGTATTAAACATTTTATAATTTTATAACTGATTACATAATAAATTTCAATGACGCAATGTCAAAGCAAACCAGTATTCAAAATTAAAATAAAATACTTGCATGCAAAGAAGCATTCTGACTAAAATAATTTATAGAATAGAAAAGCTAAAAATTTGCTTATCAGTTCTTTTCCTTGTGGTTAAAGTCACCTTGATAACACATGAGGTGAGAAAGAACAAAGGACTAGACTTGAAATGCAGACGGGATTTTTCCTTATTATATTGGTCCATTTCCTCTATCTCCCTGTTAATGGTCATATTGAAGGCGGTGATGGAGAAATTAGAGGAACTCCAGACGACCGTATACCTCCAAAGTGATTGCATTTCTCGGCTAGAGAAGAAGAACCGCAACCTGGAACAAATTATAACCACCGGTCTCCACAACAGAGAAAACAAGCACGATGAACGGATTTCCATACTAGAGATACAGTACTTGTGTTAAGAAGAACCTTTGGAAAAACAATCCAAAGACATTTTAGTTGAGAAAAAAAACTTAAGACAGCCACTTCCAAAAAGATACCCATGTTACAGAGTACACAGAATGTCCAAGAAAAGCAATACAGAGGTTTAAAAAGTTGATTCCGAAATTTGATACACTTGCAGGAAGAAAAATTCTCTTTCCCTAAAGCCTTCACACAGTACAAAGACAGTCCAATTAGGAAAGGTAAGGTTTATTATAATTTTTCCGGCAAGCTTCATCTCAAATAAACATTTATTGACGAGGATAGTATCTTTCCTGCATTTTTTGCAGTGCGATTGCTTGCTCCTATGACAACTTCTACATCAAACGGCAAAATTGTTGCTTTCTATGCCTCTTTATCCCAGGATGTTCCATCTCCAAGGGCGCACTTCATCCTTGCATTTGATAACGTAATCACAAATGCTGGAAATGCCTATCATGCCCTCAAGGGTATCTTCATAGCACCACGGTCTGGTATTTTCGTGTTTACATGGAATATCAGAATGCATGGATTATCACATCATACGACGGAGCTGTTAGTCAGTAACAATGTCGCCGAGTCGACATATCTTGATTCAGCTAATACTATTGGTGGCTGTGTTACTGGTACTGTGGTGGTGCACGTTAACCAGGGAGATGATGTTTTTCTTAGAACTGGTGGAATATACAACCGGGTGACATTTTTAATGCCTCTAAAGAAAAATCATCATTTGTAGGGTGAATTTTAAGTTAATGTATTCTTTTAAAAACCGTACAAGATTTGATTTGTTTCTTTTTCGAAAATATAATATTTAAAGTAATATACGCCGTAATGATGCCGATTTGTATGTGAAACAAAATGATTAAATGATTTGAAACACATAAAGTGTAATGAAAAAATAATATTTCCACAAAATTTAGCTATAAAACTCGTTGTAATAACAGAACAATAAAGCAATATCTGCAATCAAGAATTCAGTCTTTTCATGAATATTGATAAAGGAAGTGCGTAAACAGTAGGTCTAAATATAGACACGTATGTCCACGGGAAATTATAGACAACGAGGCACGTTGCATTTTGACAACGATTATTAATAAAAGGTTAATATGCGTCATAACAGAGTATAGATGGTTGATACTGATTACATTTAAAGATAAGTTATATTAATAGTAACACGCCATCCATGTCAAAAGTGAGTTGTATCTCGAAGGGCTTACCTCGTTTTCTTGACGCCGTGTTTGTTTATCAATCTAAAAGTAGCGACGGCGTCACGTGGTGGATTTACTTAAAAATAGACATTATTCTCCTTGCAGGATAATAAATAATTATAATTTGATAACTTTATAACGAATTTTATTTAAATGGTGTAATTTACAGCATTTTCGTAACTTTTATTGGTAAACAAAAAATATAAATTTCCAGCCGTATTTTAAAATGGCGCACGTTATAGCGTATATTACTTTAAATGTTGATTATTCAGCGAAATATTTTGAATATCTTTTCAACTTTAATTCTAAATTTTTATCTTTAATCATTATATACATTACCTATCTTCGTCTCACCACAGCTCTGTTTCTCTTGAGTCACAATCAATCTCTATTCACTCAAAAGTGTTTTTTCTTCATATATCTTCTATGAAATACACTGTTTTAATTGCTGAACATACATGTATCATACAGTTGCAAATGATGACGTTAAAGCACAATCGTCTATTCAAGAAGATCTTATCATTCTAATAACGATAGGTTTTTCTCGATAGAAACACAATTCTTTCTAAAATCGAGAAAAACCAAACTCCATATAGTGGCTTTACG